GATCATTGGTTAGATCTACCCTTTAATAAACCCTTAAGGCGTATATAATAGTAGATCCTTGATTCAATCTAACTTTTAATAAACCCTTATGGTGTATATAATGATAGATCCTTGGTTCGATCTACCCTTTAATAAACCCTTTGGTTCGAAGCTTCTAGCTTTTAAAAACCCTTTGTATGGGCTTTGGAATGGGTTTTTTACAGGGTTTAGAACCATATTAATAAACGTTTCGAAGGGTTTCTTATACGTTGCATTTTAATAAACCCTTAAATCGTTCTTTATTCTACGCTTTTTTTTCAGTGTAGTTGTATTTGCTATGATTCAGTAGGTAAACACTTTACCTTCCGATACTGTGCGTTGATCAAATTAGATGACTAAATATTAGCGATGATATAGTGAAATATTGTACTTCTTGGTATTTTCTGATACTTCCTGGCAGTTCCATGCAGTTCTTCCGACTTCTTGGTACTTTCGAAGTACGCTTTTTTTATTCTCGTCCGATTGAAAAGTGGTAATTGCCAATAATCTATTTAAAAATTGAATTGGAAAAATCCAAATAAAAACATAGTACCTTTTATAACTACTCTACACATATATTGATCGTTAAGTCACTCTCGAAAGCCACATATTCTTCATAGTATAGACATAGTTTAATTCAATACTATTAGATTTAAGCCTTTTCTTTTTATAAATCAGTAATATATGGTCGTATCAAAACACGTCGATTTGGAAGTCTATCGTTTGTGTCTTAAAGAAGCGTCAGAGCTCTTTAACATGATCGTTGATGGATGTAAACCTATTCTACCACCTATACTGATTGACCAATTGACACGTATGGAGAAGGAAGGATTTTTACCAGAACAGACATTGCAATATTGCAATAGTACTTCTTTGCAAAATGTTGACAAGGCTACACTCAGAACAAAAGGAAAGACACATATCCATCCACTTCCTGTTAAGCTGATACATGCACGTAATGAAGTCTGTCGTATGCTTCATGAAACAGGTATATCATTGGAGAAAATATTCATACCTGGTGTTGATGATAGATTAAATCGTCGAAACCATCTTTGTCAACAGCCGTTAGCCGTGATCGTGTTGCCTGGAGATATAGTGACTGTCAAAACTGTGCTTGAGCTTTTGTTAACAACAATTACTCGCCAATTTAAATCAAGCCAACGAATAGTATGGGTGAACATAGATGGCTATTGGAATAATCTTTTCCAATATCTTGGTATTTTCACTTGTGATAATTATCTTGCAACGTTTGACGTGACTATAGTTTCTAGTCTAGAGAGTATAGTTGGTCCTTTGTCAGAGTTTTGTAGATCTGAAGTATACATGCCTAAAGAAGTATGCGATACATTGGACATCAACGAAATTACATTATTTTTTAATACAACTAGTCCTAACAAGATTCGTGATGTTAAACGTATTTGTAAAGGTCTCAATCTACCTATCAAGGTACTACCTATTGCTGTATTAACGGATGGACCAGTGAGAACTGCTGAAGAGCAAAGTGCTACTTACCAAGGTAATCTCGAAGAAAAACTTCATGCCAGTGCTAGTCGTCTCCATGAATTGGGCAGAGAGTTCATTCATGCACGATTGAAGGATCTCAATATTGAAATCACAAAAGTGTATGTGTGTGCACATGATGAAGGTGTTTCACTGCCAGACCATATTCTTAATCATCAATGTTTTGATTGCCTTCGTCAAGAACGCACACCTATCAAACTAGGAGTCGAAACTAAATATGCACTTCATCAAATGCATGGCGCAAAAGAACTGAACTATGCCATGAACAGGGTGTATGAAGAATATAAAACTCCACTTGAACATCGGGCTATTATTGAACAAGATACGGGTGTTTTTTATTCTGTAAATGATGCTTTGTATGATCAAATACATGTGCCAGTTTATTTATATAATTGTACTAAATGTCGATTAAGTTTAGAAGCGCGTCCAAATACTATTACTCCTGAATATTATCATTATACAATAGTTGAAGATAAAACACTTGCTGAATGGGCACGTGATGATCTTAAATCATTTGCTAAATTCAATGCTTTCGGCGGTATCATATCTACTTTTGCACAAATAATAGGTTTAGAACCTAAACAAGAGTTTATCCAACAAAGTATTGAATTGAATGACCTGCTTATCGCACTTTTAACTACTGATATTACTGAAATACCTGAAGTAGTCAATGATCTATATAATTGTTTGGCAAAAACAAAGAAATTTATTCCTAGTATTGAAATTCTTCCTGATATTCCAATCGAATTTCAAGATAAAATATTTGCTAATTTTGATGCTTTTATCTTTGTACCAAGTTTGTCCATAAACAATGATCCAGTTGCACATTGGAAGAGTATTTTTGCTTTTTATTCAATCTTGGTTGGTTTGGAACTCGAAGATCCTTTTCTTGTCAACAAACAAGTTATACTTTATGATCCAGAGAATACTAATTTTAAAGTCGAACGTGATTTTTACACATGCCTGTATAATAATGGCATGTCATCTCAATTACCAGAAGACATGTTTTTTGTGGCTTCATCTCAAGATGAAATTATTGAATGTCTGCAATGTGTAAGCAAAGTATATACCCGACAGAAACTACCGATTTACGAACGAGAACAAGTAGATTTTCCAGATAAGCAGGGTAAATTCAATGTTGCACTGTATTTATCTGCTTCTTCTGAAAATTCTGAATATTTGGACTTTACACGACGAATAACTTCTCAACTGGTTCATGGAAATTTTGGTATCGTCTCTGGAGGAGCTGCACAAGGTCCTATGGGAGCGATCCATGAAGCATTGACGCCATCAATTGTTGAAGAGCTGCATTGCAAAGGTATTCCCATTTCTAATATCGGAATCTATACTCGTGAAACAAAATTACGTGAAGGTATTCCTCAAAATAAATTAACCTGGGCTCATCAAGCCTCAGATCTCTATTATCGTATGCAATTAATGGAACATCATTCAGATGTATTTATGATTCTACCGGGTGGTAAAGGTATTATGCAAGAAATATCGAAGTTAATGATTGCGAAATTAAAAAATCATGAAACTGTAAAGAATAAACATATTGTAATTTATAATTGGCAAATTAAATTAATGATTGAAGAAGAAAGTGGAAGAAAAATTTTGACTGGCTTTTACACACAATTGATAGACTTAATTCTCGCACAACAACAACAACAGCAGCAACCGAGTTGGCTTCATGTCGTCACTAATGTTGAAGAGGCTATGGATATACTGGAAAAGCTTCGTATGGAAAATCACAAAAGAATCACAAAATTATTTACCACTACTAGTAGTTTTCGAAATACCTAGAACAAGATTTAAAGATAGCTCTATCATTGGCCACTCAAAGCTACATTTGTAATTTCATATTCTTCACTGTATATACCTTCTAAACTATTTTCATGTGCTATTATTTCAGCAGTGGCAGAATTTATACCAAGCGAAAGTCGTGAATTCTGCTCATTTATAAACTATGTTAATTTCTTTCTTTCCTGTGCCATTGTATACACACACTACCTTAGATCGAAAGCAGAATTCTAAGCAGAATTCTGAGTTTGTTATAAAGCTTTCCTGTATTTTATCTAAGGAACATTGGTGTTTGAACTGGAGTCAGCCGTTAAATATTCAGTTTTCGAAGAATATTTCAAATATAATTACAATCTGCTGAAGTACTTTATTATTAGTGTCAACCTTATCACTTTGTTTTATGCTACCCTTTTCATATGAATGTTTTCGAAGAATATTTTCTCATTCAAATTTCTATATCTGAATTCAAAAATGTTGATTTGTCGATTAATTGAGTTTTACAGAGAAATCAATACAGAAAAAAAGATTTTCAACACAACCCCATTGGGGCTAAAATGCGGAACTCATGTATCATGGATTATTTAGATAAATACTAGCCTAATAGAGGATTTTCTTTTCTTTAATAGAACAAGTTTCATCATGTTTTTTCGGAATAAGATAGAAAAAACGTTTTAACAATTGGAAGTTATTGAATATGTTAACAGTGAATTGTAGTAGTATAGAGAAGATATGAAGATGATATAGCTATTGATATTGTTGATAAAAAATGTTGAGAGATTTTAATTATTTTTTGATACGAGTTGGGTACTTGATATAATTTATAAAGATATATTTGACAAAATTTTTCGACTAAATGGAACAAGTGGACATTATACATATACTAAAGAGGATCGAAGCTGTTGTTTGTGTTTGGCTAATTTATTATCATAGATTATCAAAAACATTTATAAAATAAACTTTCGTTGATGAAATAATGATTAGCCTGAAATGATTGAATGTAACAATTATTCACAAGCAGCGCTCATCCTACGGATTCGCTGACCCTTTTCTGAAAGAATAAGAATGGTACTTCATTGTGAATTACAAAAGCAGTCTACGATGAACTTGTAGGAAGTTTGTTTCGGAAGATAGTTATGCAACAGAGTAACTAATTCAGTCGTGATTTATTGCCGTATTCAACAAGTAACGCGACCTTAGTGTCGCTAACCCTCTACTAAAAGGATATGAGTATTTAAAAAGCAAAAACGCTTACGTGCGACACTTCAGATACTTCCCTGGCCAAACAATACGGTTTGTATACGGCCATGAATCGTTAAATACCGCCTCTATCTGATGACCGTATTCAATCACCCGGATTATAGCGTGGTAATAATTGTAACGGAAAAAATGACTGATAGCTAAGCTTCGATAGAAAACCTACTTGTAAGTATCATCAAGCAATATTTTGTTGAGTGCTATTTATGGATACAAAATGACTAGAGTGAAATTAGATGCGTCGAAACTAATGAAGCTAGAACAATGTTCAGAAAATTTTCAATAAGCTCAATATAAAACAAAGAAAAACAGCCATCCAGAAGAGATATCATCGAAATTCTTAGTTTCAGTGAACCTGTAAATCAAACTAGTGTAGACACTATAGAAACCTAACAGGAATCCACACTCATAGATTACAGATCTAATCAAATCCTGTTTTTTTATTTCGATTTCCGTTCGGTTTATCTACATTTTGTGCTCAATTCCGTTTGAGTTCATTTCGGTTCGGTTCGTTCTCGCTCCGTGATACAAATATATGCATCCCAGTATGTATGTTCAAAGATAAGAGACTCTGACACTTACTTGATTCAATTCAAACCCCACTCTCAATTCAAAAAACAACTAAACTTATTAATACTTTTACGATAAATATAAATTTCAGATATTTTAAGCGAGCTAGGCAAAGTGTTTCACGGTGTTGCTGCGGAAAAGCTAGTAGATTCACACCATTTTCGATAATCGTTGCAACTTTTCTAATCTGGAGGACCCAGGTCGACTGATCCGATATCGGATCCGATAAAATCGTATTGGATTCCAGTCGGATCGGATGGGTTCCGATAGGTGTCTACTGTCGGATTGCTTGACCTGGGTATTTGTAAATATTCTGAAAGTTGTCAAACAGTGTGGCCTTAATTAAAATGGCTTTTCTGATTGAGACGGCTAGTCGTTCGTTGGCACCCCTTGGGGGTGCCACTCACGGCTAACCGCCTCAATTATTAATGTGCTTCGTTCTTGTGATTGTGATGTCCCATTCAAATGTTGCATCATTCAATGTTCACTTTATTAAAATTTGTAAGATTAAACCAAAAAGAATTTTCAAATCCACGCGCATTCACAATTACGTGTAAAACTTTCATAATGAACTATAATAGTATTTAATTTTCATACTATCACGAGCTTGGTACGCTTTAATGATTAATTTTAAAAATGCTAATTTTGTTTTTGTTATTAAAATAGTTCTGTTTATATTTGATTCGTAATAATATGTTGTTCTCATAGCGCTCTACTGAATTCGAGACACTTCAGCAAAATAAAGACGAAGAAAAAAATGTGACGAGTATCGATTTGATCTCGATCCAGGGCTATCTCTTTCGTGTTGCCACGTAAAGATAGCCAGTAAGTAGTTGCTTTAGTCTCAATACAATGATTAGACCGAGATCGCGGCTCATCGATTCTTTCTCTATATGTGTTGCTATATATGTTGTGTTTTGTTTGAGATTGTGCAAGGTTATTGCGTAATTTCGTTCCGATGTTGTTTTATTTTTAAAAAGAAAAGAAGAGTTACCTTTAGTAAACAAGTAACTGCTCTTGAGTGCATTACGATTAAATAATTAGAATATTTTATTGTTTTTAACAATAATAACGATAATTTTTTTCTCGCTTTTTAATCGAAATTTTTCCATTTTAATTTATTTTCATTTGATCTCAATTCTCTTTATTCTTTGTATCCCTATGAAAATTTTATCTATTCGTTCACTTAAATACACTTATTTATGTCAACGTTTTTATTTAACAACTCAGAGGATCAGACACGTTCGTATAGAGAGCGCGAACGATTGTTTCCAGCCACATACAAAGCCCATAATCCTTGGCCTGGGTACATAATATTTATGTACTGTTTCTTAGCGGTGATTGTATTTATTAATTATTACAGCAGCTATATCTCTTCTTTTTTGACGTTACATCCTAGTTCAAATGTTACTGTAAGAGTCAAATCAGAAGATCTGGAATGCCTGGTTCTGACATGCGTATGAGTGTCGAAAGTTCTATGATCATTTCTGATTCTATGCTCTATATATTGCTTGTCAAGTGTTTCATTGTTCGCAGTAAGCATTAAATGAATATAAATTATTTTATCTTCAATTCATTCATAAATTGTTTACAGTTGTAGGAAACGATGCGTTATCGAAAATACACTCAACTTGAATTTAAAAAGTTGATAAAAATAATTCATTTTATTCATAAGAAGAACTTTCGGTCATTCTTTCGTTTCTAAGAATTATGAATTTAGTCGAATTCGAAATTAAAATGCTGTCAAAAATAAATTTTTTAATTAAATTTTCTAGGAAAAACTTTCTAGTAAATCAAGGTCATCATTTTGGTTAGCTATGCAACAATTCTTCGCAGCTGCCCGGCTAGCTCAGTCGGTAGAGCGTGAGACTCTTAATCTCAATGTCGTGGGTTCGAGCCCCACGTTGGGCGTTGTTTTTACATCTTTATTCTTTAGATTGTTTTGATACAAAATATTTCTTTTCTATCATTATAATTATTTTTCTTCCTCTTGAATGAAAAAAGCTGCATGCGTGGCAATAAACTCAATCTGGCGTCTGATAAAGTCCTTCAGAATAAAACATGTTTTCTTTGGAATGACTCATATTTCATTCGAGTCTCTTATAATAAAGCACCTGTTTAAATGTTTCTTGAAAGAGGAATTTCATCCTTGTACTGTATTCATTAGCATCGTGCTGCTTGTAGAATTTTAACTACTAACTCGATAAATACAAAAAATTAGGATTATTTTGCAATGTTCAGTTACGAGAAATAGAAAAAACAACAAGTTTTAAAATGTTGTCGATAAATTGTAAATTATATTTTAATTTTTCAAAAACATAATCTTAAATTTTTGAGAGATTTATTGTTAATTAGTTGTAATTATCAGCAGACTCCTCCGTTACTAAATATCATGTAGGAATAAGCGCATTCTACGTATTTTAGTTTTATATCAGATGATTTCATTGATATCATTAACGAATTCTTCACATAGAGGAGGGGGTGGTCCCTTTTCGTCCTCATTTTTTTTACGGACATCGGTCGGAGAAGTCCATTCCGAACTTCAGTTTCCGGATGTTCGGAATGAAAACGCCGGAAGGTCGGAATGAAAAAGACCGGGTGTTCGGAATGAAAGTCGTCTAGATGTTCGGAACGGAAAATACAGGATGTTCGGAACATAAAGTGACAGATGTTCGGAATAAAAAATGACCGACGTTCGGAACGAAAACCTACAGGATGTTCGGAACATAAACTAACAGATGTTCGAAACAAAAAATGACCGATGTTCGGAACGAAAAAATACTGAATGCTGGTAATGAATTTTGGTGTATGTTTTATAGTGGGAATGAGTAGTAAAACTATAAACTTCTCTGTTTTATAGAGGGTAGGTGCTGGTAACAAAAAATTTACTAATAATTCTCATAAATGTTCAGCCAGCAGTTCATTAAGTGAAAGAAAAAGTAGACGAAACAGATGATGCCAATATTAAACAAATTCCAAAAAAGAAAAAAACAAGACATGCTGCAAAAAAACATTAGACATAAAATTTATTCCTTACAAAAGTTATTTATTCTCTCACTTGTATAAACTTTTGTTGTCTTATGCTTTTTTTTGTGAAAGACTATACTAGGAAATAAAAGAAAATAAACTATGTTATAAAAAAATTATTTTCTCTTCCGAACATCCTGTATTTTTTCGTTCCGAACATCGGTCATTTTTTGTTTCGAACATCTGTCATTTTATGTTCCGAACATCCTGTATTTTCCGTTCCGAACATCTAGACGACTTTCATTCCGAACACCCGGTCTTTTTCATTCCGACCTTCCGGCGTTTTCATTCCGAACATCCGGAAACTGAAGTTCGGAATGGACTTCTCCGACCGATGTCCGTAAAAAAAAATGAGGACGAAAAGGGACCACCCCAAAAATACTCAATGTTTATATGTTGATCACTGCCATGCATATCCTTCTGTAAAAAAATCTAGTTGCTACATCCAAAATACGAGCTCAATAATTGTATAGTAAGTTAGAAACTGTACAAGCGCTCAGAAGTTGTCTTGAAGAATGTGAGTAAACAATTAACAGCCCACTTTGTAAAGAATCAAATTCTGCATTGAATGGTATATTACTCTGCATTTTCGTTTTAAGTTTCTTGGTTAGAAAATTGAAAATACAATTTATAGAAACTTTAAAACTTAATTTTCGATGCCAAAACCCAATTTTTTTAACAAAAAAAGTCCAAATTCACAACCAGTGTAAAAAAATTGTACCAGAAAATACGCTGAGATCTGTTTATATCGAAACAAAACATTCTTAAAACTGGATCAGCGAAGTAGCGGGTTACGTGGACAAGCCGATCTACTAATGGATCATCAGTGATGATGCAATATCATCATATACACTTTTTCAATTAGCGCTAATTTATTATTTGCTGATCATTTATCTATTTGCTGAACTATTTTTCAAATAAAAAAGATTACTTAAACTTGAATTTAAATATGAAAAAAAATCTTCTTAATTAGCAGGGCAGGGCAAGGCAGAGCAATAAAATTGGTCCTGTGGACACCTCTGCAAGAAATCATGTTTGATTGCTCTTATTTGATCATTAGATTTTTAAAGCTAGATTCAATCATGAAGACAATAGTTATTTGTTGTTGTAACATTCCATCAGCACATTTGAGCGTATGCATTATGTTGAATTGATATTTTGTTATTTTTATAACTACCTTAGAAGGAGCCAATCCAAAAGGATCTATACAAATTCAGATGAAAATAATAATAACAATCTATTTCAAACAGATGGTTTCCGGACAGTGACTGTCGTAATATTAGTAGCTGATGTTGAAAATGAAGGGCAAAGTATCGTTGGAAATAGATTGAGATTAAAACATAAACAAAAAAAGATATTGCGGCGAAACAGCAGACTGCAAGCACAGATCCTTAAAATTTTAAAAGGATACATCTGAACATCTATCATCGAATTTTAAATACAAATTAAAAAAGTTATATAGACTAAAGGAAAGACCATCAGTGATTGTCAAAATAAATCCGTGCAGTAAATATCAAGAGTAGAATTATTGGTTCTTTTCACAATAAAGCAAACGTATTTTGAACGGCATGATTTTCAACAAACAAGAAATGTTTGATCAATTATGAAATCGTTCATTTTCAACGATTTAGTAAAAAGGAAGTATTAACAACCATTTTTCAATGATGAGTCAGAAAGATAACGATATTCTGCGTGTAGATGGGTGATGTACCCAAAAGAAAACTTGGACACACCATCCAGAGAGTTTTGTTTAATAAAATAACCTCGTTGCAAAAAAACAATAGTTTATATTCATTTTTATTTTGATTATCATTTAATAAGAGTTTTGTTGTCTATAAATTATTTAATTCATTTTGTTCATCAATTGAAAAATTATCAAATGTTGATTGATGTGTTCGTTCATTTCGACGTCGTTCAACATTGTTTCGGAAACGTTTTAAGCTTAAGCGACTTAAATAAAGTTCACGTTGTCGTTGCATTGTTGTTGATATTGGATGATAATCTTTAGGACGATCGTTTTTTATATCAATTGGTGCATCAATTTCATTACTTGCTATCCCTGTATCTAATGTACCAAGAAAATATTTTGTAAGACCGTCAAGTATATCAACACAATGCATTCGATCATTTTCACATATTGGTAAATTCAAACGAACGAGTATTAAATAATTTGGTTTAGGAATACGTAATGGTGCTTCAAGAGCATCAACAAAATCTAATACTTGATCATATTGTATAAATTGTAGACCTAATGGATCAAATTTTTGCCATTTTTCATAATACATATCATAATCATCATCAGTTAAGCCCTGAAGAAAATCAAAAAGCATGTTTTTTTGATACTTCAGCTCCTTTCATTTATCACTTACTTGTTGTACGTCTTCTTGTGCTTGACTAAAATTTTCTAGTATTACTGCAATATACATATTTACCTAAATTAACAATAGGAAAATTTGAAGAGATCAAAACAAAAACAGATATATTTATATTCTTACCACAACAAGAGAAGTAATTATAACATAACTGACAAGAAATGGCGTTGCAATAGCTGTATCACCACAATCCCCTTTATGTGATGGTGTATTTAAAGTTGGATCACAATCGGGTGGTTGATCATTTGTTAATGCTTGATAAACACCGGACCAACCGGCAGTCGTACACATTTGAAAAAGTACAATCATTGAATTAGGAAATGTTTCAAAATTAAACAAATCTGTTATACCAGCTGATTTTCTTACATAAGCAAAAAATGACATACCAAATATGGAATAAATAAACATCACAAGAAAAAGAAGAAGACCAATATTAAATAACGCAGGCATTGAAACAGCTAATGCAAAAAGTAATGTTCGAATACCTTTTGCACCTTTAGAAAAACAAAAATAAAAGAATGTCTACAATTTATATATTCGTATGATATCAAACCTTTTACAAGGCGTAATACTCTTCCAACGCGTGCAACACGAACAACACGTAATAATGTTGGATTCACTACAAATTGTGCCATAATTTCTCCTAATGCTTGCCCTTGAAAAAAAATATTTTTTTCCCAATAGATAGAATTCGAAAAGCAAACGGCAACAACATACCAAGAATAGATGCAATTACAATAATAAAATCGAATACATTCCATGGAATAGTAAAATATTTAAAATTTAATGCAATTAATTTCATGAAACATTCAATAGCAAATCTAAATTAGTATTAATAAATATCAAAGATAATAGCGGTGGCGGTGTTTAGAACAGCTTACATGATAACAAATAAATTATTAATATAGTCAAGAATACGGTCATAGGCACGACTTTGATTATGATGTTCAAGACACATACAAACCATATTCAGAAAAATACAGATCATTATAAATATATCGAATTTTTGATTTGTTGTTACATCAAAAAGAAATCGTCCAAGAGCAAACTAAAATAAGCAGAAAATTCATAATATATATATATATATTTATCTATTTGAAAAATTTACTCTCGGTCTTGGCAATGCTTTAGTCGGTTTTTTACCACCCATTTTTTTCATAGCATTATAATATTTTTTTTGATCTTCTGTCAGAAACATGTCTATTGAACCATCACTGCCTAACTAAAATTAAAAACCCAAAACAAAACAATCAACATCTGACTATTTTAGTTTATATTACTTTCTGAATAAGGAAAGTTACCTTTCGTTTTTGTTGATTAAAGTTATCAATAACAACACCAATAAATAAATTGAGAGTAAAAAATGAACCAAATATAATGAAGAAAACAAAATAAAGAAGAATATAAACATTAATTTCATATTCCGGTTGAATATCGACCTAAAATGTTGTAGCATTAAAACAAAAAACAAAACTAATCGAACTAGTAATATACGTCTTTAGCATCAGTTGCATCAGCCATAATTTCGATCCAACCTTTGAAAGTTGCCTATTGGAACAAAAACAAAAACAAATACAATAAAGACATAATTAGTATATTATAAGAAGCCACTACTGAGATTAGATCTACGTAATGACTAGGGTCTGTCACGTGTGTAGAGAGAAAAATAGATTATTTTTACATTTATTCAATTAAATTTGATAACTTACAACTTGAAACAAAGCTAAATAACCAATAAGAACATTATCAAAATTAACTCGTGAATTTTCCCATGTATAATTGCTATTTAAACAATCATTTTTATTTTTTATATTTTCTGATACGTTAACACGATCGTGTGTACCAACATAAACACATTTATAAAATTTTCCACTAAATAATTGTACGCCCATAATTGAAAATATTAACCAAAATACAAGACAAACAAGTAAAACATTAAATATTGATGGTATAGCACCGAATAATGCATTAACAACAATCTATTTTAAAAATAAACACAAAAGAGAAATTCAATTAATAATTGTCATACTCGAATGCCTTCAAATCTAGATAGAGCTTTTAATGGACGTAAGGCTCGTAATGTTCTCATAGATTTAAATGCTGGAATATCAGCTATACCAAATAAATCGAGAATAGTTCCTAGTACACTAACAACAACAATAACAAAATCTAATTTATTCCAACCATTTGTAAAATAATTTGAAATCCCATAAGCAAACCATTTTAAGATTAATTCGAATGTAAAAATAACTGTAAAAATTTTATCAAATATAGACAAAATATATAGAAATGTTGGTTGCTGTCGTGTATTGACATCTTCTAAAGCCTTTGTAGAAAGAAAAAAAATCAACGTTGTTTTTTTTTGTTAATCTTAGCTTACTAAAGATGTACTACTAGCTAATATACTGATAATAATAAGCAATTCAAAATATTGATGTTCAACAATGTAATGAGTTAAACTACGAAAATATGTCCATCGTTCTTGAATAGATTTTGGAATACATTTACTACAACAAGTAAAATATTTTGATATTGCATTAGGAAAACAATCTGGTGCTATATGAAGATTTTGACACGAAGGAAGAGATATAGAATTATCATCTATCGGTTGCATTTCAATATTATCATGTTCTACTAATGAATTAGTCGTTAAAATTATTGAAGTATTCAATTCTGCTGATTGACATAATGCTGGTAAAGTAAGATTATTAGTTGATCCTTTTGTAGTTGATGATAACTAAAGAAAAGAAAAACATAAAAATTAAATTGACTAAGAAAATCAGTAAGTTAAACAAACTTGATTATCATTAATATCCTTTAATATTTGTTTATTTCGATGAAACAAGCGTAAAATAAATGCAGTTAGAAAATTAAAAAATCTTTGAATACGATCGATTGCTTCAGCAATCTTATTGTCTTCATTTTCGTTCTCAGTTAAAACATCTGAACCAAATGATGCAAGTAGAAGTGCCAGAAATAAATTTAATATCTATTCAAATATAGAAAAATTAAAACGGGTCTTCGAGTCCGTGAAGGTTTCTTTTCGACAATGAAAAGTTAAAATAAAAATATGAATCCAAAAACCAACAAATAAATACATACCACAAGATTACCAATAACAAACGTAAGAAGAAAAAATGGAATGCAAGGCCATCCAGCACATTCAAGACACACCCACATTGATTCAATCCATTCACCACATAAGACACGAAAAACAATCCTATAAAACAAAACGAGGAAAAAAGCATTATTTTTAAAATCTGAATAAATAAATTTACATAAATGCATGAAAAAAATCAAAAAAATGCCATCTTGGTATATCTTTACCAAATTTATCATGATATTTTTGACCGAATAACTAAAAAAAGTCTGAACATAAAATACATTCAATATTTCATTAAATTTTACCTGCATTCCCATAACAGCAAAAATAAATATTATAATCCCAAGAACGAATGTTAAATTTCCCAAGGCTCCAATTGATTTGCCAATAATTGACATAAGACGATTCAATGTTTGCCAAGATTTAGCCAATTTAAATACTCGTAACTTAATAGAATATTAAAATCAAAATTAAGAAAGAAAACTCTATACTATCACGAATCGACGCGCTTATCTTTGTTCTTTACAGAATTTTATTTTTGATTCTCAGTCAAGACTATGCAAAGAACGATGTCAAGATTGTCGACTAGTGATAATTACTTACCAATCGAAACGAACGTAAAACACTTAAACCTTTTACATTGGCAAGACCTAATTCAATAAGACTAACTGACACAATTACGAAATCAAATGCATTCCACCCATTTTTAAAAAATTCAGCTGGTGCCATTGCAATTAATTTTAGTGTACATTCAAATGTAAATACAGTTGTAAAAAAATAATTGCCTCCGGTTAAAATTCGTGTCATCAGTTCACTTTGTCCATGATGATCGAGCGCCATGAATACTGTATTTAATACAATACATATTGTAATAAATAAATCAACAAATGCATCCAATACAAAAAGAGTAACAATTGCCTAGAATAAATTAATGAGCACTCGTAAATGCTTCATATTAAAAAGATGAAATATCTCAGATTTATTTTTTAATGCTTTTCAATTGAGATATAATATAATTTAATGAAACCTTACTCGAAATTTTTGAAATATCTCCAAGTCACAAGTCCATGTGCAGCAATAAATTTGTAGAGCTTTGATCACTGTTTGTTTACATGTATCCGGTGGGTCTACATCTAAAATGATGATATTCATACGTCTTGTATAATAACATTTGAGCTGATTTCAAAGCTCATTCATTGTTAGTTGAACGATCATACTCAATCAATGAACTGCTCTAATAATCAATTGAAAACATGCATATACGTACAAAATTACGATAAACATGCATAAATAATAAACAATTGAAATCATACGTGTATAAACTTCATGTTGATTTAACAAATAAGAATTAAAAAGGAGACAAGGAAAAAGAAAAATCGTCTTCAGCAAGACGTACAAAAATAGAAATTAATGTGTAAGTTTTTATGGTATGTATTACAATAGAACTCACTTTCTGTTCGAACACTCATTGTTTCCGTTTTGCGATCAGGTGGCACTTCAGTAATTGTAGAACATCTCGTATGAGATTTAGGGTGTTGAAGCTTTAAAATATATATTAGAAACAAAAGTTAAAAGTACACGATGAGCCAGCAGTAATGCAACACAGAATCCTTTCGCGGTTTGTATTGTATTACCGGTGGCTCATGTTTATATATTTTTCTTTTTACTGTGAGAGTTGAATCATTGGGATTTTGACTGTGTTCGGATGCATGAGAATAACTTCTTGTTTTTTTATGTTTTTGACTTTCATTTGGCGTATTAGGTCTCGTATCATCAATAAATAATAATGTTGCATAATCATTTAGTAATGTAGTTGATAAACTTGAATTTGACTTATTAAATTGATACATTGATGGTGCTGTCTGAGATGATTGGATTTTATTTGAACCATTTGCCTGAAAATTTAAAAACAAAAATTAGCTAATTTTGAAAAACAAACCAAACTTTTTCCTTTTGTTCATATTGTGTTGCAACAGTGCAATTGGAAATTTGATGATCTAACTGATCGTGACATGAAGCGGTTTCAGTATGTAAATGTGTTTCAGCTTCTTCATTTTGTATTTCAAGTTCATCTTCAATTTTACGTCTTTCGAGTTCTTCATTTTCAGCTTCAATTTGCTTTTGCTGTTCAAAATAAGACATCGAAACAATAGCCAAGATTAAATTGATTAAATAGAATGAACCAAAAAATATGACAGCAAGAAAATAGAAAAAATGAATACGACCAGCCGCTGACAGTACCTAGATTTAGAAAAAAAACATTAATTTACAGAATTTATCGTCGTTTGATATTATTTTACTAATTGATAAAGATTTTCCCAATAGTCTTGTGTCATCAAACGAAAACACGCAAGCATAGCCCAACCATAATTGTCAAAACTGTACTAAGAAATATGGAAATTAAAACAAAAATAAATAAAATCTACCTTGTATATCCATAATCAGGACTACAAAAAAAACAAACAAACAATACAATTTGGTTAAACGCATTAAAAGAACCGTTACCTTATGCCTCGATCTTTCCAACAAACATAACCATCAGGACATCTTATACTTCCACTTGAATTACCACAAAGAACATAAATATCATCTTGTTGATACCAATTAGCTGTAAAAATTTGAGAAAAAAAGAAAATAATACAACATTCTATCTGAATTATAATTTAGAATTCGAATTTGTTTTTTGACAGTGACAATGTACTCTTACTTTCATTATTCAATTCTTTTAAATAGAAGTCATATGACATATTTGATCTACTGTTGAAAATTTTGGAATTATTGAGAAATAAATCATATGTTGGCACACATTTTTGTCGAAGAACACCCATGTAAAGTTGTAATCCTACCTATAATTAAAAGAATAATATACTTTGCTTTTGTCTTGATAGAAAATGTCACACCAAAGCAAATATCGAAAGAATAAAACTTGATAAAACAGCCACATCTCGTAGAGCTATAAAAGATTGTATTAAAGCATTAACGATTGTTTTTAAACCTAAAATAATTTTAATCATCTATAAAAAAAAAACGAACAAGAAAATAGAAAATTCTTACCAGGTACAACTGCAACAGTTTTCAATGCTCTTAATACACGAAATGTTCGTAGTACAGCAACTTTCCCCAGATTGATAAAAAATGTTACATATGCAAGTGTAATGACAATAAAATCTAACCAATTCCATGGATCACGCAAAAATGTATGTGGCTGTAGAATAAATCCTCGTGCAACACATTTTGTTGATGCTTCAAATGTATAGATTATTGTAAAAATATACCTATTTGTTTTTAAAAGATAAAGAAACATAAAAGCGATATTAATTAACAACCAGTGTTTACTCAGTCACTTCTGGTGCATTTCTAAGCGTCATAAATATGCAATTGGATAGGATTGTAAGCATAACGAGTGTACTAAAAAGCGAATGTGTTAATATGCGTATAGCTAAACGTCGAAAACAATTAAATGGAGAAAATATAAAACAAGCTCGCGTTGCACTAAATCGAAATATTGCATTGCTCCGATTAACAACCACGAATACCTATGATTGTGTAAAAACAACAAAAACTAAAGTGTGATTTTTTCAAAAAAATCTACATTACGTATTCTTTACGATAGTATGAATCGATTTCTTCAATTGGAATTCCAATAAGTTCAGGCGGAAATCTATGTTGTAAAACACGTGGTAATGTTTGTCCAACGGCTAATTCTTTATTAGGTGCTCTATTAGATTGGTTTGGTTCATTTTTTGATGATTTATTTAAATGATGCATGCCATTAATATCATCTTTTTGTGTTGTTTCTCGTTGTAATATTTCGACAGCAATACGTTCAGTTTCCTCTTGTCGATATTTTTCAATACGTTGAAATGATTCTTGTGTAAATTCACGAAAAACAATCGATTTATAATTCATTCTGATGATTAACACATACACCTATTCATATGCATATAGTTTTATTGAACAAAAAAAATAAAAAATATTTTTGAGAGAAATTCAACATGCGACTGGGAGCTTCAAAATAAAATCTTGAGAGCGTGGATATGCAACATAGAGAATCCACATCCTCACTTGCAGACCCTAGCTACTGTTCTTGCTTTCTCTCTTCTTTCAACGTTTTCAACGACACAAACAGCGCATTATAGAAAAGAACCGAAGTTGGCGTTGAAAATTTTTTGTTTTAAACCGATCACTTTTTAGTGGAAGTCATCTCAAAGTGAAATATGAATGCTAAATTTTTCATGACTTCGCACAACCAGAGTAAACTTTTTTTTCCGTTCCTACTCTTACCAAATCTGTGAGATATGAGCCTTCGATACTCACTCTAAAGAAAACATTTGATTTAATTCTAACACTGATAATTCGCGTGTTGACAAGTAATCGGTTTTTGGATATTCGAATATCTCACTTGCTTTTAGTTGGATGATTTGTAGTTATAAAAGGAAACGTCGTATATCTATCGTCTTTAAATTCTTCAGCTGATCAATGAAGGATTAATTCTAGAAATGATTAGAAAATAATATAAAAATATAATCTAGAGAAAAAAAGATGCATATATTGATATACAGAAACTGAAATATTTTTCAAAATTAACATCACGAAAGAATATATTAATTCTTTCTTAAATACTCTAGATTTTAATTATATCATTGCTTTTAACGAAGATAAAAACAAAACTAGTCTTCAGCATACTCTATCTTTGTTAATTTAAAAATTTTTCATCTCTACTTACAGCAACTCCATAAAATTTACAGGCGCCTAAAAACACCTCCTATCCTTTATCGAATTGATTTTGATCTAGGCAGAAGCAATTAACATGAAATTTTCAGTCCTATCACTCAAAAACAATGTCATGCGTCTATTTTGCTTGAGTGACTAAAATCGATTATCCACCGACACTTGATATATCTAACAAAGACACGGTATGCATCTTTTTTTTTAATATACACGATGCCTATCAGTTAGACGTGGATGTGGCTGACAAGTAAGTTCACACCTTCGCCCTTCGATTCACTAAAAGAAAAGTTTTCTTTCATCAACGTTCTAATGGAAAAAAGTAGAACTCGATATTTATCTCATTACTTCTGTATCATATGCTATTGTAATAATTAATTCTCTGGAATATAAAATAAAACTTACGAATTCTATCAATATGTTTATTCTATACAAGCGACTAAAATATAAGATATAGTAATGTCTATGTGAAATTCAAGTACTTAAAACTAATGCATATCTCACATTGCGACCACACAATAGAACAGATGCATCGTCTTGTAAGACGCTTGGCATTTTGTTTTGTTTGTGTTTCATATAAGAAGTGAATGAAAGCAAAAAACAATTCTGGAAATATCTGAAATGTCATGTCATTACATTATTAGTCTCATAATTCAATACAATAAAGTGCTATTAACTTAATTTGTGTCGTGCTATTTAGCTGAGATGTTCCTAAATCTAACATGTGAGACTTGCTTTTGTTCTAAGATGTTTTAATAAAAATAAGATCTTAATTGAACCGGAAAAAGTACACTCATAGTAGTTGTTAACCAAAATTTTCCATAGAAATGGTTTACTTACTCACACACTATTCTGATAACAACTAATAAGCAATACGGCTCCAACTATTCTTGTTAGAATGATCCAAATTGTGTTAAGTTGTAATAACTGAATGAGAAGAATTATTGTATACCAGAATTATTTGCTGCACTTTGATAGTTTTGAGCATGTTTCTTCTGCAAAGTCTTCTCTCAATGTTCCTTTTTTTCTAATATAAAATGACTGGTTCAGATAAAAGAATAAATACCGATGTAATCAAAGATTAATGAAATAAATCATAATTGAACTTGATCCCTGGAGTATTTCTCAATTTCTTCAGCTGTACTTTTGTGTAAGAAAAAATGTCTCAACATCAACAACATTTATTTGGTTAATATATAGACCAAGTAATAACATTTACTGTCAATAGTTATTGATTAATGACATGATTTCAACAGCTAATGAGCTAGAAAATTAAATTAATTTTGTCATAATCAAACTATAGTAATGAATTTTATACGAATTAAGACTGAATGGCGAATAACAAATATTACAAATGTGATTATCCTATCACGATTTCATAAAGACAATTATTTAGATCGAATGGCATGGTTTTTGAATGAGAATTTTCAAATTGTAATAAATTAACTTTATTTTCGCTTTATTAACAGCATATCTATTGATATATTTACGTAGATGACAACATATAGTAGTTGAATTAGATCAAAATATTAATTTGGCACTTAATGTGAGCTGACTATGATTGAAATGAGATCAAATCCAGGGAAGGAGGGTAGTTGATTTTCTGATTACTTTGATTGCCAACAGTCTGCATGTTTTCAGATAGAAGAAACGTTAGTGCTGATGGTAGTCATTACATTTTATTCGATTCTTCGTATCTTTAATCGTGCTGCATGCATATAATTGGTATGGTTCAGAGACTGAAATGAATGACAAAAACTCGATTCAGTTTAGAATGTTTGAAAGAAGATGTGATTTATTTTTACATACTATCGAGCTTTATTTATGTATTACACATTTAAAAAATTATGAAACCAAATTATTTTCTAGTAAAATGTTAATAGCGAGATCTTATAATTTATGCAGGCATTTGAGATGCGCCTAATATCGTAATACTATACCAACATCGACTTAATACTTTTTTTGTAATTGTGCAAGATTATAATATTACTCATTGGTATAAATTCGTACAAATTGATCTATATCATGATTGTTACATCACCAATTCAATGTTGTGAAACATACAGATTTATCAAAACCTTTTTGAATAATCTTTGGATTGCATTTTTGTACGTACGGAAAATTTTTCGATTAAGTAGTTCGGTGAGCACCCTGAAATATATTGAAGATACGTACTTCAAGTACTCAACAAATGCCCAAGTACTGAAGAGCAGGGCTCCGCGTGGGATAGGACAGAAATTTTTTGAGAATCGTTCCATCCCATCGTCCCATGGGACGAAGAAATATTATATGAATCTATTCTTTTTACTAAAAACAGTAGAGTCCTTTCAATATAGATGTCGTGCCCAACTGTGTGAGAAAAAAATAGTTAAAAATACAAACTATACGTGATCAAGTAGTGCAGCCATTTTGATTCAATGTACAACAAAAAAAATAATGAACCTACACATAGAGAAAAAAGGCAATCTGATATATTATAAAAATAATAATTGATTTAGTTATTGCGGCTGATAACTTGTGCAATGCCTTTGAATAATTCGTTCATTGTAATATGAAGTTCAAACTCAGCTTCATTCTAACAAAATCATGAAATGTGACATACTGGTGTTAGGTCCTTCTCCTAGTACTTGAACTAGGAGCAGCTATTGGTTATCTGCATATCCTGTTGTTAATTAATTATATTGTTATTATTTATTTTGTTGTTGTTCTTTAAACTAGATTTCGTTATTTGTTATTTCATGCCAACCAAAACCTCTTCACAGTACCATTCTAAATTTCACTTCAAAAATGAAAAAGAATCTATTTATCAATCACCTAGAAGTAGCAAGTTTATTTTACTAATGAATCAACATCATTAAAAGATATGGATTACTTAATACGTGTTACCCATATACGAAGGATTTTATTCTCGATACAGAATCGGTCAATACAGATCTAATACACCAACGTTAATTCAAATATATTTTCTTCAATTCATTCATCTGGGATTCCCATTTTTCACGGTGGAGATACAATATTTACCTCATCATTCATCAGCATTATTTTCAAAATTTAAAAAATGATTCCATTTCATCTTTGATAGTAAATCATATCTTTATTCTTGGGGCCATTCACAAATGAATTACGTCGTTTTTCAGCAGTGGACAACAGTACCAATCGATCGGGAAACTGTTCCACTTTAAGCAGAAATGAATCACCCAAAACAAAATTACGGGTAGCAAGGAGAAATGGAAAAAAAGAATTCATATATATATATATATGCACACATATCAGTTGCTTTTGTTCGACGACGATATAATGTTTGATTCAAGCAGAAATGGTTAAAATATATACGGGAATGCTCTTCACAAGGAGAAATTAAATCTTTTAGCATGACGTTTTAACCATAGTTCTACTCGATAGAGTCCATATAATCAAATATGTCCCAATGATTGTGTAAGGTGCAACGTAGAGGTCAAAATATTTTTCTTTTGTAAAAGTGAACATTTTTTATTCATTGTTTGGATGTTTTCACTAACATAATGTATTAATCCTACCATCATAAGGGAAGATCTTTTACATTTGTTAATGGACTCCTTCTACACTATATATAAATATATGTTGTTGTTATTGTTGTTCAGAGTATGAATTATTTAGATACCAATACTTTATTATGGCGATAGTGTATCCTGTTTATTATATCACTGTCGGTTTCAATTACAATATAACGGGTCCAAAGTTATTCGGTATCATAAGAATTTACCATATTCGTTTGAATAAAAATATCATTTTAGTTTTATAACTACTGCTCCAATGGGATAATATAATGAAATATACGATTTTTCTTTCAGATTTGTAATTCATATTATTCACAATGAATGCGATGGAAAGATTTCAATCTAACTTGAAGGTCGCGTGCAAACTCAGAGTTGAACCTGAAACATGGTTTTCAGCTGATACAGTACAATATTGTCGTCATTTAGCTTCGTATCATCAAGTAGATAGTCATGCCATGGTATGAGCTCTAATTAATGGTATAGCAAGCACCAACCGCTCGACATATGTCAACCGTTCGTCACACTTTATGGTCCCCTGTAATCTGTTAAACATTATCGTTACTCGTTCTGGTCAGTATCAGCCTTCTTATCTTTCCTTGTTACCTTTTTTCGAATTATGATTTTCTTTACACACATAGCAAGAAATAATAACACATAGCTTCACCCTTCCAAGTTGAACATAAAGGTAGCCAATCTATCCAAGTTTTTGAAGATCAGTTTCCCATTGCTTTCTAAGCTATCTATCGAAAATTGTTTTAATCCTTGATATAACTATCAAAGAGTATTTACATAGCGTTTCTTCTAATCATAACCTCAATATAAATCAGGAAACACACTAAAACAGTGGGAAATTACACAGCTACACAACAGAGAATCAGCAAATATCCATATCATTCGATCTATTTCCGTCAATACTAAGAATTCATCAGTAAAAAAGTAACGAAAGATAACCAAACTGAATCGAATGTTGCACATACATATACATGATTGATATTCAGTTTTCATGAGTGGTTGATATTCTATTGAAAATCAAAACATCGAAATTAAAATTCATTATTTCATTCTATCTGCTAGAAACTATATCCTCTAAAACGAAAAAGAAATAATCCATATCTCCTAATGTCTTATCGATTTCTCCTTGTGAGGGGGGAAACGGTTCAACCATTCCTCCTTAAAATAATACCACTTCTGCTGGAATAAAAGCGTATCTGTTTGAAATTTGTGTGAGAGGCGATAAGGAGATGATTGATGTCTCTCTGTGTTTGGTGAAGTTTTGCTTAGAAAGTAGTTTGCTCTTGATGAAGTGTTTCTTCTTGCCTGTTTATGGGTAAACGATTTCTGCTGGAAATGGAGCAGTTTCTCGATTTTTGGGGATGTTGTTCAGCGCTCCGTTTTTTCTCGTGTTCACTTTTTACATTTCCTATTTACCTAATTACTCATAATACTCTATAGGTAAATTTAAAAGCTGGTTCAATCAATGGATTGAGAGGGTGTGGTTGTCAATAATAGCAATACCCCCACTCACACTCACACCCAATGGATTCTCAACACGTATATTATAAATTCCTTCATCTGATTTACAATTTGATTTACAACGTAGTAAAGCTATTACAACAATAAATATTAAAATAATTGAACATCTTCCGTGCTAAATGATCATTAAGTTTGAAACGCAAAATAGATCATGAATCCAGTATTTGACATCAACGAAATAGATATAATCGTGAAATTATACATCCAGCAAATATGAAGATTTCATTAATTTAACAATTGCTACATAAAATCCATAGTCAATATTTAAATAGACATCTCATTCGTTGCACTGTTTATATTGGTTTAAAATCAGAGGATTATTAACAATTATATGAATAATTGATACCTGCAGATATGTTTGTATAACCTTGTTTAGGGGAGGTGTTAGGATCTGCCATCCGTATAATGAAAGATAGATAGATAGATTTTGTTACAAAAAAAATTTAAGAAGCATATCGGATCCTAACATCTGTCAACACAATTCATTCAGTTATTCATTTTTATCAAACAGTCAAAGATTATGGATCACTCACAAGCTGTAGCACATGTTGATTATGAATCGTTACGTGGCAATTTTAGTTTTTATTTCATATTAGATCATTTTGCTTCGCCAACCAATGAATCAACGCACTGATCACGTGAACTCGAAAATAATTTGGAACTTATTAAAAATTCATCACTTTTAGTTAACACATATTGTACTTCGTCATCAATTTATCCAATAATATGTAAACTTCGAGACTACAAAACAAATTCATCTGCAATATAAGGCAATTATCAATTAAAGAAATCAATATCAATTATTCATGAAAAGGAAAAACACGAGTTCTTTTTAAAATTAGGTGAAGAACTAACAATTTACAATAAGTCTATCATAAAAGATATTACTTTACGATTTTACATTACTCCAAATCAAAACAATTTCAAGATTATGCTGTTCCTTATACACGTGACAATCAAGGTAATTTTGGTCTTATTAATAAATTTATTATTGCAAGCTAATCCTTTGGATAACAGCCGAAAAGATGAAGTACTATTGAATTTACTACAATCGATTTGAATCATAGTACTCATATTAATACTACTGATGCTATTGAAAAAGTATCCTACTATCAATTTGAAAAAAAATTGTATTTATTGGTTACGTAACTTTAACTGAATCTAGTTAGAAAACAATTGATTATTTTTTTCTGTTATAAATTTTTTTCAAGTAAATACGCATTTTCTTTTTTAATCCTATTAAAATATTTTTGTCTTTATTATATCGTAAAGAGTTCTTTAAACTAATACTAGTGCGTTTATTTTCCAGATTTTTCCATTGGAACACTGTTTTGTACAATTTTCTTGCGTAGGCACAATGAGAATCGATATTATTCCGGAAAAAACAACGCGCATATGGAGATAGAAACAGTCTTTTAGTCAAACAAGAAATAGACTATCAATGATTAGTATCGTATCTACGGAATTGTTTCTATGTGTCATGTACAAGGTCATGATTTTTTTGTAAGATAGCACTTTAACCATTAAAATTAAAAAATTCTGAATCAAGAAAAAGAACACGTTCTTTTATTTATTTCTATTCTTTTGTTAAACTAAGTCAAACATTGCTGCGGAACATAGTGTAGATGCCATTTAATATTAGCTACCGATTAATACTAGCACATACTTTAAAGATCTCAGATAAATATGATTGTGTTAGAAAAAAATAATGTCTACAACAGGAAGAAAAAACACTTTCCCGTTATGTAGTGAAGAGTATATACGGAGTATTTTTTTCTCGTCATAAATCACAAAAGTGTTGCTGTTCTTCTCACTGCGTCGTCTATTCCACAGTCTTATCAGTTTGCTGTTCTTCTATCAGTCGGTTACATCTGCATATATTTGGTGAGGTAGTAACTATGCAGTGAAAAACAAATCTGAATTTTATTGGCAATACTTCTTATTTATTCATGCTTTTCGAAACAACCTTTTCATGTCGGTTTTAGAGTTTTAATCATTATAATATTCATTCGAGTTTTAAAGATTGATTTATTTCATAAATTATCTCTAGTCTACGAGAACGTTATATTTACTTATGAAGAAAAAAGAAAGAGCGAGAAAAAAATTGCAACACTTACTGGAGAAATCGTTCGGTGTAAGAAACTTGATAGATATGTTATTATTTTGTGCTTATTTCATGATCCATTTCATCAAGTGTCCTGCCACGATTAGAAATCTTTCTAACGCCTATATGGGCTACTATGATGTCAGCACATAAATGATCTATACCACAAAAATCACATTATAGCTAGGTTAATCGTAAAAATAATAGCGATTTTTAGCATTGGAGACACCGATGAACATGTGGGTAGCGTTACACCGCCCGACTTCATCTGAAGTAATCAATGTAGAGAATTTATGTCATTTTTTAGCCGTATAATGAATCAGAGAATAAAATCATTTTCTTCTTGTTTAGGATCAACTTAACATATGACGATGCCGCAAGAATTATACAGGGCATACAATCATGTTAAAGAAGTATGCTTGTATGGTAAACAGTTTCCATATTGAAATCGATATTCTTTTATTCTAGGTTATTTACAAAACTAACCAGAGCGAACATAAACTGTGAGTAGCTACAGTAGGCAGAAGTCGAGAGTAACTTATAGTCTTCCGTAAAGGTATCTGTATCGTCACCAATGTGAAGTAGTAATATTTTTCATGCTCTCGAACTGCTGCTTGGCGCGTAGGTGAACTAGAATCAAACTGAACTCCACGCACTAATCTAACTTCAATCAATTGAAATACATTCGAGTTATGAATCGAATAACACCTTCAAGATGTAGCTTCGATATATCAATTGTTGAATGCCTGTCTTTTTTTCTCTGCCTCGCTCACTGAAAAACTAATGACATATCTATCTGTAGCCGAAGTTTGGTACGACATCACTTTAAAATGACTAAGTTATGACATTGCTCATTGAAAAATTCTTCCAAGCACTAAGGCTTGATCTCCAGTCTACCACTACTGATTCGACATAGTAGTTGTCGAAAGAGTTCACCACAGCACAGTTTTTGAATCACCAACCTCTTAACACTATGACGATGGGCTTTGAGAAAAAGAAGTGAGACATACATGCGTGTATTTTGTGCTAAAAAGTACAAAAATAAACTGTAAAACCATAAAATAGCAAAGAGAAGTTTCTACAATCATACTTTGGTTCGATACATTCAATAAACAGTAAATAAAGCTCCTAAACACAGGATACTTCTCTATGAGAACGAATGACTTCCGTTAACTTTTTTATTTTAAATTCCAGTTACATATATCTGACTTCTTGCGCTTGAAACACGCCACCATAATTTAAAAATCTTGTCAGTTGGCAAACTTTAGTGTAGTCAACTGTTTTGATGAGCTCTATGGTAACATCCCATTGCACTATGAATCTAAAACTTTTAGCACAGGCTTCTTAACACATAGATATTTGTTTCTAAGTTCTCAATGGAATCAAATAATACCATGTCGAGTTATCAGCGCCTAATTACAGAGCAGATATTTGTACTTGGAAGAAGTTTTCAAAGATGAAAATTGTATTACGTTTATTTTAAAGCAATTTTACAGCAAACTTTTACTACAGATAGTTGCAACACTGGGTTTCAAACGATAAACGTAGTATAAAAGATATAGGGGCTATCAAAGTTGATATATAATTATCACAGGATGAAGCTATTGTTCGGAGACATGTCTGAATACCATGAATTATGACCTCCAGGAATTTAAAGAATCATAATGACTGGTTGTTTTGATCTTACTATTTTCTTAATTTTTAGGAAACTTGCTAAATCTGAATTAAAAGAATCTTGGAATGGAATCACTGATCAGGAGTCAGATGAAGGGAAATTCGGATTTTTACAATTAGATTATCCCGATCAAACTGTTATGAACGATCGTTTATCGCAGGTAAGAAATACAACTTCCAATAACACTAGCGAAACCATACTGCAGTGCATTGAAATGTTCCACAAGGCAAATCTATCTTGAAGTTGAATAGAGATTCTTTTCGCAGTTAATATTTTTTATTTGAATGATTTCCAAAAAATATGTTTGCCATTTACATAAATTAGATAAATCAATACAGCAGACGTGATAATAGTATTTTAATTGAAGTATAATGCACTTTACTCTTTAGTTCATTCAAATTTCCTATACTTCGTCAAAAGAATCGATGATACGGTTCATTATTGAAGCTTATCAGCTTCCTCTTCCTCGTCTCATTCTCTCAATCCAGACGGATTATATCAATAGCGAGAATCCACTCAAGGAACGGTTTTCCATTCAAGAAGAAACCAAGCGTGCTATTCAGCGTGGTTTAACAGAAGCGGCAAAGACAGCGAGTAAATCCTTTTAAAAAACTTCATATTTCTGTTACTCATATTTTTCAACATTTAGACGCGTGGGTTATGACAAGCGGCGTAAACCACGCTATGAACCGTCTAGTAGGAGAAGCTTTGTGCGCTGACGACGACGTTCCATGTATCGGATTGTGCAGCTGGCCACGTTCACTAGGTATCTTTAACATCAACATTAATGACAACTGACAATTGTCGTATTATGTTGTGTTATTCGCTAGGCCATGGTCAACTAGAAAGCAGAGTGATAGATGGAACGCATTCAATTCAGAACAGTGATAAAGTGTTCGATCTTGAAAATGAATGCGCTACAGACTGCGTTGGAAGACAAAGATCTTCATCCTGGTTCTCTGGGAAAATTCGTCAAGTATTCAAGAATCGACAAGCTAGTAATCCCTCGCACGCTGCTGGTACACATACCAATTCGTTATATTTAGTAATGATCCTCACATACGCCACAAAAATCTATACATTCTTGTAGGAACACGGCTTCTTTCACTTTTTCAGATGTCGAATCAACAATTTCCCATTTACATTCACAAATACGATCAAACCAACAGCATTTACAATTTAGAACCGAATCACAGTCATTTTCTTCTCTTCGATCATATTCCAAGTGAATGGAAGATTGGGATTACCATACGTCAGGATATTGAGGACAGCCTTGATTCTATACTAAAGTCAGAAATGGTTGGCTATGATCGATGGAATAGTACGATAGAATAAATTATTTTTTAATAATCTTCACAATAAACCTATACTTTATTTTTCAGAATTTGGCAATGATATTCCAACAGTTCTATTATTACTCGGTGGCAATATTACAACACTAGAGGCACTATATTATCGTAAATTTAGAGATCGTACACCGATCGTCGTTGTTCGGGTATGAGCTTTTATCATTAGATTATTCATCGGTGTGGCTGTGAGGATGAATGTGAACCTTCTTTTATCTACAAAGAATTCACACCCTTGTCAGGCTATCATCACAAATATCAGATATTTCATCAGGTGTCTATATTGTAAATTAGGTTTTTTATTGTAGGGCACTGGTGGACTAGCTGACATCATGGCTGATATTGCTGACTTCTCAAATACAAGCGATAAAAAAGTTGGGTTGAGCCCTGAAGAATGGAAAACACATCATGAGTCCTCTTGTCTAAAATACAAAGAGAGATTGCTACGTCTGAGCGATGGAAAAGAAAGTATGTTACAGTGTGACTGAAAGGAAAAATAGCAAACGAATATATTCCCTAATAATGTCAAAAATCTTTCGGGTAACATTCCGTGATAGTAATGAGTGAGGAGTACGGTATGAGAATAGCTGTGAAACGAAGAATGGCATGCACTATTACATTACATTCATCCACACCAGTATCTGGCATCGGGTCAATTTTTTGTGATCCAACCCAAGTTGACCTAAGCACACCCAGACTCGATCCAAGTTCAACTGCTTCTTTGTAATCGCATGCTACCTGAGCCAAATCAGACTCTCCTGCCGATCAATTGTCTGTTCCTCTGGAGAAAAATCAACTTATCTGTCCTTTTTTCGTCCTTTTACTTAGTAGCTGAATCGAAACGATATGTCCTTGATATTTTGTTGATATTACGTAGCTAGGACATAATGAGTTTGTGGCACTGTTTTCTTATTTTTATTTTTATTTTTATTCTTATTTACAAAATATGCGATCTTTATGTCACTATTGAATAGAGAGTGTATTCACTAGGTATCGTTGTTCACAGTCATTCAGGAAAAGTCGGTCAAGTTGAAAAGCAAATTGTGCGATACATAACTTATTGTCCTAGCTCTCTTATAGAAGTTTGAAACGAAAAACAAAAACACTGCAAATATACTTTTCTTTTCAATAATGATTTCGGTTACCCTTTTTCTCGTCATGTTTTTCGCTATTCTTTATTTCGTGTAAATTGATACCATTCTAGAATATGACAAAGAGAATAGCGATGACATCGAAAATCATGGGAACAACGGCAGAAGGGATGGAGAAGACGACTGCTTAGATAATGATGATGATGCAGAGGAGCGTGACGATACAGAGAACGTTGAAGACGACACCGAGGATGGGAAGGGCAACGCGACAGAAAGTGACGGCAATCCTCATGGCCATGGCTATAACACTGAGAAATACATAGAGGAATTAATGAGATCTCATGAACTCATTGTCGTATTTGATCCCATTGGAGGCGATGGCAACCTGGAAGATGCGATCGCTGATGCAATGTTAAAGAGAATATATTTTTTATATCAGAACTACGGTATTTCCAAATATGACTCGTTAGCTATGGAATTGAAATGGTGTTTAGTAAGATTTTTCTCTTCGAATCTGCTGAGAAAATAATTCTTAATTCTTTGCTTGAATGTTTTCAGACCTGGAATCAAGTTGATCACGCAAGACAAAATGTATTTGCTGAACATGTATTTGAAAATATGACATCTTCAGAAACAATGCAAGGATTCGTGAGTACATTTTATAAGTTGGCTGAATCTTTCCAGTCAACTTGCATGACTGAACGAGATTTTGGTGTATTTGAAAAACTTGATCAAAATCTTGATGCGTATTCAATAAACATTGAATCTGCAAAATGCATCCGTATAAGTCAAACTGAACTATATCGTTTAGAGAAACAATACGAATTATCTCTGTTTTGGCATAATTAGCTATATTTTAATGGCGAAGAAATTTGAGAGTGCACTAAAAGTTTACTATGGTGAACAATTTTGAGATTTTTGAAAATTTGTTACTACGCGTAGGTATCAGAGTTGAAACCGGTCGACCGGTTTAGGCCGGTTCCAACTCTGGTAGGTGTTCACTATCGCAATCTTAGATGTTTGGAAATATATTATGTCAAAGTTAAATAAATGACAGAGACTTTGAATTTGCCTTTGAACATAGTTATTTTTTAGACTATGAAGTAATGCTAAAATACATACGGAGTTTACTATTTCTCAGTATAAAACTCTTTCAGATGCTCAATCATATTCACTATCGAGATCTTTTTATATCAATGAATTTAGGAAAAACCTTTTCACTCTATTAAACACTGGGTGTGTTTCTTTTCCATCACTTGCATATTTGATGAGAAAAAAAAGGAAAATTCATCATACTGTATGCTGTTCGATCATACTCATCGGAAAACTCGCTTTAAATTCTTGACTGATGTCTACTGTAGAGAAACATTTACTCAAGCATAATCGTGACACCTATCGACCTGACTGAAGTTTTCAGTTTGGAAATGTTAACTTTCAGCAGAAAATGCTCCGTTGGATCGCGAAATATCCAGTATGCGAAATTTTACTGCATGTCACAGAATTCGAAGCAAACTCGACTTATCGTGCACTTTAATGTCGAGTTGATATGTATAATCAATGCATTCTGTTGAAAACAAATGTCCCAAACTATTACAGATTATTTTTAAGAAATTAAGATTTTCAGTTCCACAAATCGCAATTTATTAGTTTTAAAAATAAAATTCTAGATAGGTACTCATCATCAACGTTTAACTCTATTGTCTATCATGAACTCTGTTTAGATAAAAAAAGTAGCCCCAGCAACACTTTATGAAGCTTTATGTCAAAATAACGTACATTTTGTGCATTTGCTGATGGAGAATGGTGCATCAATGAAAGAACTCAATATAGAACAATTAACATCAGATGAATTCAAGATTTTCTGTGCACGAATGCTGGTAAATCGAGTTTAGTACATGTCTCTCTTGTAATTTTCAAAAAATAACGAAGTTCGAAAATTTCTAGAAATGTTAACAACGCAAAGGAGCGATTTCAGGAATTTTCATGATCCATATATACAATGAGAAAGAGAGACAGATTGATTATCAGGAAATGATTGAAGATTGATGAAAGAAAGAAAAAAAAAGATATTGGGAGTTCAACTGAAATTTTGGAAGTTCGTTTGAGTAGCGTAGATAGAAATTCTGTTTACTTTATATTTTTACTGAAGAAGCATGAAGTATATACGAATTTTTTTTAAGAATAACAATGCACTACCTCTCGATGAGACTAACCGCATTAGTGCAGGTATCAATATGAAGTCTTCAGAGTGTATGGAGACAATATACTTGGCCTATTGTAAGCAATATTTAGAAGACTATGTAAGAATTCAATAATAATGCATATCGACACTTTATACGGGTCGTGTTTATATTTAAGATCACAACAGAAGAAAATCGAAAGAAATATCAGTCAACTAAAATCTCGTCTGATCGGAGCAGCAATGAAGCTATAAACCTATTCGACAAAAATAAGACCGAAAAACTTTATCTCTGGCTTTTGTTCATGAATCGACCAGAAATAGCCAAGTTTGTTTGTTCCAGATGCCAGGTAAGATAGACATTGTGTTCACGTTTTATTTATTTTCGTATCTAATTTTTTTTCCATATATACTATCTATTCACAAAAAGAATCAGACGGTTGCCTCGCTGCTTGCAGTCCATATTTATTCCAAGGTAGCAAAGAAAGATAGAAAAAACAAAGATATTTTACGACGAATTGCACAGTGAGCAAATCAAATTCGCGTTTATTTAGCACTTTTTATTGTATACATATTTTATTTATTGATGAAAATAGAGAGTTCGACGAACATTCGAAAGGCATCATAGACGAATGTTTCGCTAAAGACAATAATCTTGCTATCAATATGATTAATGGCAACGCCGCAACATTCTTTCATTGCAATCCATTAGACGTAGCGCAGCGTGCTGATTGTAAAGCTTTTCTTGCCAGTGATACTGTCAAAAAATATCTCAAGTACAAATGGTATCATCATTTTGACGATCAGCACCAACTACTAAACATGAATATCTCTATCTGGGTTTGCCAATGATATTTGCAAAATAGTCTCTTGTCTTATGCAATACTCATTTAGATCTTCCTTGCATCGTTATTTTTGCCTCTCTTGCCAATTTTATCTGTGATTAGCCCTTGTATCTACCAGGAGTATTCTGACAAGTCGAAGGTATTACGGATAAAATAAGATGATAATTTCTAAATCATTATGGTGTATTTTTATTTTCATGTAGGAAACCAACAAATCAAATCGATATCGTCCAATTTTGTCTCATTGGCTAGTGTTAGTTAAATTCTTTTTCTCAAATCTTGATTTTCAATTTTAAACCATATTTTACAGATCGACACACGAGACTATTCCAGAAAGGTACTCCTCCAACAGAGGGGAGAAGAATTCTTTTCAGAGGTACAGAGTGAAATTATGTATCTTGCTATCTGACGTGTGGCGCAGAATTAAATACTTTTACGAAGCTCCAGTAGTACGATTTTATTATCATGTTGTAAGTGCTTTTCCTCCCTATTACTGTGTTCTACCGTCTTGGCTATTTTTACTGCATTGTAAATTTAGACTTTTTTCTGCCTATTCCTGATTGTATTCAGCTATGTTCTTCTTGTCGGCTATTTCCCACTGGATATCCATAGCAGAAATCGCTCCCGACGTCAATATTTATCAATGCCAATTTCAGAAATTATCTTACTAATTTATATATTGAGTTTCGTTGTTGATGAACTCTACCAGGTCAGCTTTTAATCTCTTAGAAATCTATATTTTTAGCAGACGTCCTTCGATATTATTAGCTCAGCCGATATAAAACATGGATTCATGGCTATTTTGCTAACAAATGGAATTGGATAGACGCAGCAGGTATCATCTGTTATGTAGGTGCATTTATTACTCGATTGTTTGGTAACGAATCTGCTTTTGCGGCATCAAAGTAAGATATTTCTTCTTGTTTTATTGCAATTTGTTTTCAATTGAAATACCATCCAACTGAAAATACAAAATAATTATTGTTAAAACTTATCTAGACATCCATTGGGGTTTATTAGAAAAATATTTATTTGCCGAATATAACGGAGAGACACTTCTGAATCGTAATTATTTTTGGAATGAGAATTTCTTTTTTTAAAGATGTCTTAACAAGATTCATGAAATAGCTTGAGAAAATTCATCTTTATTGATAGATCGGCATTGAATATTCTTAGTCGAGTGACGTGAAAATAGCATGTATTATATATTATCGAAAGAACTTAATGACATTTTGACAACCATCAACATCATGTTACAAAAATCAATCAATCAAAACCGTTTTGCAGTGACTATCGGCTGTAATTTGAGTGGTTCTAATCATGTTGGTGTATGTAGATTATTATTTTTTATCAACTGATTAGAGAATGAGCTTAGCTATATTGCAATTGACAAAAAATGACAGCCAACGGATTGACCGTTTTGAATACGAAGCTAAAATGTTGTTTATGCAGTGAAAAGCTCAATGGTAGTGAGAGACCTTCGAATTATTGAAATATAGATTCCATCTCATATCTTATTTCAGTTGATGATTACGTAAATCGACATCTAATGAGCACTACTTGTTCTAGTCTGCTATTCAGTATAGCAAATTCTCATCAGCATCAAATTGATTCCAGTAGTTATTATGTTAATCACAACATTACTGGCTAGCTCTCTGCAACTAAAATAGACAAGTGGGCAACCAATAAATCGACATCACATCAGATTCAGTTTAAAACATCTACCCGGGCCTATTTACTATAAACTATCCAAAGTCATTTCCAATAATTTTTTCATTTAATAATCCTCATCGAAACTCGATTAACAGTAGTATAAAACAAAACAAAATCAAAAAATTGTTCGTTATGCGCTCTAGAATAATATCTTTGTTCAAACAATTCGGTTATTCAATAAGTAAAACTTCTCTCAGATATGAGCCAATAGACATTTACTTATAATTAGTACCGGAATTAGGGAGGATGAATTAAATGCAATATGGTATTATACAGTTTGATAATAGCTGCAACGCTTTTGTACTCAAATTGCAACAAAAAAAGTTGAAATTAATGTGGAGTATCCAGTTTGCATTGGTATGATGTTAATGCAATGAGAATACTAAGCGGCCACTCCGAATTGTAATAAAAATCTAATATTTGTATGAATCATTTTTACAAAATAAAGACATGTGATACGATAGAATTACTTTAATCGTGGTTGAAATTTTCATATTGGTCACAAAAGTGATAGTGTCGAAATATGAGCGATTTTTATCTTCAATCAGAGTTACAGGAGCTTCGGTTCACGACTGCGTTGAACTTACCGACCAAAAAAATAAAATTCCAAATTTCTCAAAAATTAGTTCACAGATGTCACGGTGCTCAGTGACATGCTATAACTCAGAGCAGCACGTCACATACTTTGACTATATAGCAATCGCTTATGACTAAAATGTATATGAGACTTTGCCTACGACCGTGACTATGTATTTATTTGCAAGTGTTAGAACACGAGAACATTCCATACACCGGACACTCAGACCACTCTGTATTTACCACTACGTCACATTTCTGGTCACAAAAGTACCCTTCTCAGCACTACAATGTCTAGAAGCTATTAAAAAAATTGAATTCTATTTTGGGGTCAATGAGATTCAATGGTGGGTCGAAATTCTGGTCTTCCTTCAATCATATAGACGACAAAAATAGTGATCAATCCAATGCATTCTTATTTAATTGTCATTTAGAATACTCATGTCCATTGATTTTATTGTTTGGTGCATACGAATACTGTATTTCTGTACTGCATTCGAAGTACTAGGACCAAAACTCATAATGATTTATAAAATGGTGAGTATATCATATATTAGAACACTATTTGTTACGACCTGCTCTCCGGTTAGGTCGTAGAGCCGCCCCATCTACAGTATCTCTTATTATTCTTCCTACATCTCACCTGTTGTTTGATTCGTACTCTCTTAGTGTTCATGATATATCTTTCTTTCTCTTTCTCTCTCTCTCTCTCTCTTCTGTTCGAGAGATATCCAGGTGTTTTGTACTATCTTTATGTTTATGATCTATCTTCTCTCTTTCTCTCTCTCTCCCCTGTTCGAGAGATATCTAGGTGTTTGTACTATCTTTATGTTCATGATCTATCTTCTCTCCCTTTGTTATTTGATTTGTACTATCTTTATTCGTGATCTATCTTCTTTCTCTCTGTGTTCTCTCTGTCGCTATATATAGCTAGTTAGTTATGTAGTAGGGACTCACTTTTAGGTTTACTTATTTCAATATATATACAGCGGAAGGAAAGGAAGAACCTTCACACTATTCAATTCATTTATTGTTTTTCATTGTAGATGAAAGATACTTTTTTGATCTTTGTATGTTTCATGCTTGTTTTTCTTTTCGGATTTTCGATTACTTCTTGGTCTCTATTGTCTACCAACAATCAACTTACTTGGTTGTATGCAACCAACGGCTCATTTATCAATGTAACTGTAGCGAGCGAAGGGAGACAATTGTGGAATTGGCAATTATTACGAGATGTATTTAACTGGGGCATTTGGAAAATTTTCGGGCAGATAGCCGAGCCATATAAAAATAGCGCTACTGGCATGGACGTCATTAGCGGTACGAAAACATAAGCTTTCATTACTTCTATGGAAGAATGACAAATATATTTCTATTTTCTTTAGAAAATGATATCTACGGTACAGTTGTTTTCTTCTATGCGATTGCCTTCGTAGTGATATCGAATATACTTCTTTTAAATGTTCTCATCGCAATGTTTAAGTAAGTACAGAATGAAAAAAAAACGATTCCTTGTTTTAAATAATGTTAATGCGATATTATACAGTGACACAATTGGAGGCATACTTACAGAATCGCAAATACTTTGGCGTTATCAGCGGTTCTGGTTGGTTCGCGAGTGCAGCGAAAAGACGATGTTACCTCCTCCATTGAACATCATCTATTACCTAATACACTTCATAATCTATCCATTATGGCTCAAAATATATATAATTTGCTTTTGGAATCTCTCTGGTAAAATTAAACACACTTTTGTGATTTGATCATCATTCATTCGCTGTAGACGAATCATGTAAGAGCAATATCGGAAACAACAAAAGAGAAATCAATGTCGAAAACAACTTCTATCAAATGAATGTAGAAAGAGAATATGCTGAAAAATACTGGAAATATAAAATATTTATGAAAGACATTCAAATATCAACTGAGGTAACTTTGGAACGTTTAGAAACAAAGTAAGTTATGCATTGAGCGCTAGGCCTCACTATTTAATCGATAATTTATTCATTCTATTGATTTTTGCAGGCTCACTAAAAGCAACGAGCGTCAAGTGGAAGATTTTCAACAAGTCAAGGTATAGTATTCATTTTGTCTTACCATTTGATTATGCGACTGCAAAGTATAAACCTGTGGATTACATCTCAGGTGCAATAATCAGTAATAATACAGAGAACGTCTTAAAGAAATAGAGGTTTTGCAGAAACATATTACACGTGAAATAATGATTACCACAATTTCTAGTAATACCCCATGAGAAAAAATCATATTTTTTTAATATTCCCAATATGTTTATGTCTACAAAGTTCTATATTGACAGTTTGGATATTAAGAATGAGAAATTGTAGACAACACATTATCATGAAAACGATGTTCCATAGTAAACACTGAAATTGGCAAGAGTGATAATGTTGTCGCACTTGAAAATTGAAGTCGAGTAAAGGTTTGAATTTCAAGTATTTCTCACATCTCTCTTAATGCGGATGCTACGAAAACATCCATATACATGATGGCTCAGATAGAAAATTTCGCGGAAAGTCTTTCATGGGCTCTGGCTAGATACTCAGACCTAGCAAAAAGCTAGTCACGATCGAATCAGAGTAGAAGATGATTTAGTTATTTGATAAACTTGTACAATTCTGCAAGTTATCAATAAGATGTTAGGAGAGCCTCCGTTCGGGGACCGAATATACGAGGCGCTCGATAAAATTTTATTTTTGATTTTTTTGCTCATTCAACGGGACAATATCCTAAACCATCAACGTTTTAACTGTGTTCTCGAAAAAGGAACAGTGTAACTATTCTGTAAGGTGTTGAATGTTAAGAACAAGGAGAAGTTCTAAACCTTTTTTTTTTATTAAAACTGAAAATGATATATCTAATGCAAAAAATGGTGCTTGAAGAATTGTTATCATTTGTATGAGTCACGCGATCAAAGATATGGCGAAACGAAGAAAACACTACGATCATGGTACAGTCACTAAGAAGATCTTTATTTCATTGTATTTGTAGAATGAGATTCGAGAAACACAAGATCTAGTGAATCGACAACTCAAGCTACAATGGATATCACAAGGACTGCGAATTTCACAAATGAGTAAGCATAAATCTATTTCAACTATATTTTCTGGCATCGCATATATTTTTAGATAGCTCTATAGCTTTATTGCATAGAGACTATCGTATGCCTTAAACTCAAATGTTGCATCATGAATGTTTTGAACAGAAAAACGAAAAATAATTAATTATCATTCTGTGCCTTTTCTTTGTTTAATACAATAAAAAAAAGCATTCCACATACTTGACCTCTTACAGTGATAGATTTGGATACATTTTGCTAAGCCTTCTGACTTTCTAGTATAATCCAGTTATGATTCAAAACTTAGTTGACATTCAAAAATAGGTTCCCTTGAAAAATGAATTTCTCAGACGAAAATTTGCCATGCTAAAATCGCCATTATTTAAATAAAAATAGTGTTAATCAGGGAATCTTTATAAGTGACTACCAATATGCTTATCAGTAAAGACCTGTTTCTTACACTATCATGTTAGTTTTTCCTACATATATTGTCATAGACTACCAATCCGTTCGGAAATACATTCTCGAGAAAAATATTTTGTTCGCAAACGGTGCAAATGATTCCTACTTTTCCCCCAGTTGCAATATTTTTATGGTAGTTAGAATGAAATTAGGGCGTGTGTTTCTCTTTGTTTTAGAAAATATTGATTCGCTAAGCTCAGGAAAAGTTAAATATTGGGAGCACTGTCCGCAAAGTTTTTTCCTGTGATTAACTAGTTTAAAGATTGCTGAATTTCAGAGGAACAATGTTTTGAAGGAAAAAAAGTCATGCGCTTCAAATCAACCAAAGCGTTCATAAAAATTCTGAGCTTGATCAGGTATACTCTCCGAGAGAGAGGAGGGAAGGTTGCCATTTTTTTCACATGTAGTTCTTTTCTCTTTTGTTCATTTTGAATTGTTACCAACTATCATTTATTTCATATCAAATATGAATTTAAACATTCTAATATAATATCACCTGAAATCACCATGAGAATGTTGACGACACCTTATGTAGGACTGAAAGTGAACATAAGGTATATATGAATCTCTTGACTAGAATAATCGCATAAGCGGGAATTTTAATGAACTTGGATGGAGACATCCTTTAAGTAGGAGGCATGAATTTCGAAAGATCGCCAAGGAATTCTCTCAGGTTTGCTTGGTTTCGCGTGCATAGAAGCCTTCTTGGGATATCACTTAGATCCTTCTCTTATGTATCTTCAAATTCTATCAGAATCGTCGCTTCAAGAGCTTGGTATTAGTCGGCCATACCCTGATAAACAGCACATATACATGCTCTGTGCGAAAATTTATCATACTCTTCAGCAGAGTTGCATTGATAATCCAGAGAATTATGTGATTAGAAATTTATCAAGCCACATAAAAAGCAATATGGAAGATACATACTGAATTCTTATAGAGTTCATTAGGTTCCCACTCAATATGATACACATTTATTTGCCAGAAACTTGGAATCTTTATTCGTGATAATCCACTAACAAAATCGTGATAGAATCTTCTCGGGATGTTTTTAATATTGGGTTGTTGTCGAGCTCCCTGTTTCAATGATTTGGTATGCATCAATTATATCTTCAAAGCATAATACGAGAATAAAAACTAGATTCTGATAACAAACTGTTCGTATCTTAGTAAAAATGTTCGTAATAATCCTGTAAAGAATCCGCATTGGAAATTACGAATCAAATCCTCACATAACTTTTTCTTTTATGAAGTGCGTGAATTGGATTAGCATTATCAAAATGCAGATTTTATCTGCTTGTAAGATCTGGATGAGAAGTGGAAGGAATCATTGTAAACATTGATTAAGCCGAATTCTAGACATGATCCTAATAGATTGCATACGAGTATCTCAAGGAATGATTATGATTAACACTGAGAAAATTATGTATTTGTGGGTATCACTATAAAGCAAGTTTCCTTTTATTTTTATCGACGGAAAGAACTCGGTTTGGTTAGAGTATGCCAGGAAAAGTTAAATGTCTGAAGTTTTAGTATCTTCTTTTTAATTAGACGTTATAATTCGTAGCACTTTTACGGGACAATGGACTCTTTTCAATAATAATGACGACATGTTTTCTTTTATGTTCACTGTAGTGATTCCCAATATTCCAGTCAATGCTCGATGGTCACATATTGGAGTGACTGTCGCTGGAGGCTATAGAGAAGGCTATGCCACCAATGAGCTCGATCACCCATGTGGTCTTGTGATTGATGAAGATCAGGCAGTGATCATCGCTGATAGCTACAATGATCGTGTCGTTCAATGGAAGTTTGGTGATACAAATGGACAAGTTATAGCTGGTGGTCGTGATCGAGGAAATCGATTAGATCAATTGAATGGACCAGTCGACGTGTTGATCGATAAAGAAACGGATAGTCTTATTATATCTGATCGTGAGAATCGACGCGTCGTAAGATGGTCTCGTCGTAGCGGCACAACTCAAGGAGAAGTTCTCTTCAAGAATATCAAATGTTATGGGTTGGCCATAGATGATCAAAGATATATCTACGTCGCTGACACTGACAAACATGAAGTAAGACGATTTAGAATAGGAAACAAGCACGGAACTGTCGTGGCTGGTGGCCACGGTAAAGGTGTTCAACTCAAACAACTCAATGCGCCGACCTATATATTTGTCGATCAAGAGCAGGCTGTCTACGTGTCAGACAACAACAATCATCGTGTCATGAAATGGAATAAAGGTGCAAGAAAAGGCATTCTCGTCTGTGGGGGGCGAGGTGAAGGGAATGCTCATACACAATTGTCGTATCCTCAAGGACTCATTGTCGATACATCGGGTACCATCTATGTGGCAGATTCGAACAATAAAAGAGTGATGTGTTGGCCCAAAGGAGCGACACTCGGTACTATTGCCGTCGATGGAAATGGTTCCAGAGAAGGGACTGATCAGTTGAACAATGCTGTCGGTTTGTCCTTCGATCGACATGTTACTCTCTATGTTGTTGATTCTTTGAAAGCTCGAGTACAACGATTTTCGATCGAATAGGCTTATCATTTTCATTATACAAATATGAAATTAAGTTTACTTTGATAAACTTAATTTCATATTTTCAATTCCGTATCGATACCAGTTAAACATGTCTGAATATTATTCGACCTGGGTAACGCTAACGCATGGCACATAATGAATGAATTACATTTGTTCTGATTACTTTTCTTTTGGGAATACTGAAAAGTTTCTAACAAAGTCATTTTAACAGAATAAAGATAAAATATTCTACATAAACGTGCTTGCGTCTATTATATGTAAATAATATGTCGATAAATGGCTACATTTATTATAATGTTTATTTGAATTTATTTATAAGTTTTCAACCTATGTGAAGTTGAGACCTAATTCTAGTAATTTCACTCTCGATTCATCCAGATACATGTTCCGAGTGTCTGAAGCGAGTTATAAGTACAATTCGACGAGTCTTATCCAACGTTTTGCTCAGTTTTTCGATAATCAATAGTATGATTTTTTAGATTTTTACTTGCAGCATTTATCAACTCAAATTCATTCTGACTAATGCCATGTAAGCCGACGCTAAAATTTATAATTATGATAGTAGTACAGATCTGTATATTTTGTTATTTTCGATCGCAGAAATATATTAGATTCGAAATAAAAAAAAATTAAGAATTATTCTGCAGACACTTAGGGGTGTGTGTGGGTGGCAAGTAGGCCAAAGCCCACACTCATTCCAACAAAATACGGAATATGAATGGGATTCTTCCATGTTATAAGAATAAAAAAGGACAAAGTTTGATTAGAGACACTTCTTTAAAATCGCTAGTTGCTATGGATATACTAAAACTTCTCTTCATAATATCGAAACTTGCAGTCTACACAATGTTTTCGAATAGTTTGTCCCATGGCTGATGGACCACAAAAGAAAACAGAGACATCCTTTTGCGTTGTCTCCGTCTGGTCGGTGTTGAAACCACGAAACAGCTCATCCCATTTTGGTCGACCTATATGCGTTTTTGTATTTAAATTTGTAAATATATCATGTCCAGCTACTTGAGCCCAAATTTTCGTAATAAGATCTAATGGAACATTGCCAATGCGTTCATCATTTTTTATTTCTGTAAAAAATAGATGAATGTCAAGGAAACGATGTTCATCAGGATTTGATTCTAAATATTGCTCTTGTTCTTCTTCAAATTGACGAAGAAGATTAAGAAACCATTCAAAATTTTTATGATCACGATTTATCCAAATAAAATCGACTTTTCTTAAACGATTATTTTCTAATAAACCAGGCTGATTATAATTAATACCGTGGCAGTGCTTACAAACAACACGCGATGCCCGAAATTGTGCCATTAAACTTGATAAGATAGATGCATAGGGTGTAATGCCAATGCCACCACCAATTAAAACAACATGTCTGCAATCGAATACATATCGAGCACATGATGAATAAGGTCCATTGATAAATATGACTTCTCTTTGCCTGCGCGTCGCTCGCATTGTATTATTTTCGATACCCTGAAGTTCTACTGCTTCATGTGACGTAGCACCATTAGTATTTCGATCCGCTCGATAAATTCTAACAGCAGTTCTATGATTTTCCTTATCTGACATATCTTTAAAACGTTGATATACTCGTTTAGTCCAATTTCCGGTTGCTTGAATATGAACAGTTAAATACGAGGTTTCCTCTGGTGCACTACTAATTGTGAATGGATGGTACTCATATAAAGCAATACGTGGAATATTAATTGATATATAATCACCAGGTTTAAATCTTTCAAAAAACAAACGAATATTTGTTTTTTTTTAAATTGAAAATATAAATATATCTTACGTAAAATGTCTTGGTCGATGAATTTTCAAACTAATTACATTCGATTGTTCGATTGTAGCTGATTTTATATAAGTACGACCAATACCTGATGAATAGCGCGTTAGAATTGAATAAGCTTTTTCTATTAAAAGAAGTGACAGCGGACCAATAACCCATTTCTATTGTTGGCAATAAATATTTAAACGGAAATTATATGAATTTGCTGCGATAAAAGTAAATCAAAATTTACCCAACAATTTTCTGCATGAAGAATGAGAAATATATAAAATACTACATAAAGTAAATGTGTCCAATAGAATATCTAGTAAAAAGTATAAGAAAATAACAAATTATTGACGAAACTTGTAATAATAACTCATTAGAATAATAGAAACTGATATGAAACATTTTTTCAGATATTTGACATACATTGGTACTGGATCGAGATTATACATATTTCAATTAATCAGCTAGATAATAATTGAAAAGTTATTCATATATCAATAGAACCATAGAAATTTATTCAAAAAGCGGACGACGGATTGAAGTTTTATTCAGATGTTTCTACTTTCTTATTATTCGTTTATGAAAAAACATAAACTTGAAAATATTTCTCACAGTAGACTATAAATCATGTAAATCAATTTTCTTTGGCAGAAATTTAGTTAAAACTTGCAATTTTTGACACCTTAAAACCAGCAGTCGAATTTTTATAGAGAAAAGTAAAAAATTTTTCAATATAAAATCTGTATAATATTTTTTTCAATCATTTTAATTAACCTGAAAGTGACCACCTCGTCGAATTCTGTGTAACGAACCAATGATCATTACAGTAAAGATGATGCATAATACAACACCACTTAAAGGCGCAAACCCGGGACCGATCCAACCTAACTTTGCCGTTGTTGTGAACTAATCAAGCAAAAGATTCTCAAAGTATATATATCTATCTGAACTGTCAAATAATCTTACCATGTAGACAGGCCACGTGAATTCTAAAAACAGAAAAGAAAACATTTCAAGAAGACGAATCTATTACGATTGACTAATGGTGGTTCTTACTACTCATAAGCAAGTATTTATATAGAAAAGATCGGGTTTGAAAGAAATCTCATACATGATCCAATTGTGTTTGGTATGATCTATAAACTGAAATATATAGTTCGAGTGATAAGTATAATGTTATGAAAGAGATTATAAATTTTTATTACGATTAATCGTCTCTTATAGATTCAGAAAAGCAATAGAGTCCTGAGTAAGTTTGATTTTAAGCTAAATTTCTGACAGACTGAATAATTCAAAATCTTTCCTTTTAGAGTGTGGCTCTGTGTTACAGTTACACTTTAGAGCATATTTAACATTTGACTACTTGTGTCAGACTATAATTATAAATGAATCGCCATACAGTTACGCGTTTACCCAAGAGCTTAGAGAAGAAAATTTCAAATATTTTCATTGGAAACAATAATTGAAAATCAATTTTCAAATTTGTTGGATAATTATTTCGATCGATTCTGGATCAATAGTGACAATGAAGTCTTACAGAAATCTATAAACAGAATGCATTTTAACTAGAATTACAAAAATATCCTCTCGTCCCAAAAATTTCGATCCATATACAACTGATAGGAATACTTTGCTTTTAGTCAGCATTAACCACTTAGCAATAGATCTGATTTAATCTCAATCGATGAAACTATTAGAAAAATGTTTTAAATGTTTAAATAATTACTTTTCTCTATAGCTGCAACTCGTCCAAAATTGGCCATATGAGCAATTGTATGAACAATACTCAAAAAAGCAATAAACCTTGCAACATGTTTATGAAAAGCAATATGATCATCAGTAGGTATCCATTTTCGTAAATGTTCACTTGATCGTATAACTAATATTATATGTTTTAGCATTAAAAGAACAATCAGTGCACAATTGAAATTCAGTAGCATTCCACCAATGCGTGCAAATATGACAAGTACATGATCTTTGAGTACCACTGATCGATAGATAACCACATAGAGACATAAAGCTAAATTAATTAATACATACAAAAGTAAAAACACGACACGTGAAGCATTATCACGTATATAATTCATGGAAAATATCGATTGACGATCTTCATCTATTGATTTTTCGGAACACATATTTATAAAAAAATGTTGAATTGCATTCGGTTTTCGTGGCTCTTGTGTGCTATCATTAGAAACAAACCATGATGGATCAACAGTAAATTTTCACAAAGATTCTAATAGCGTAGGATCTTGACATACAATCGAATAGAAGTCATCGAAATCGATTTCAGATTGCTAAAAAAAACTAACAGTTTCTAAGAGATACGTAGGTTTGAATGTTGATATTTACGTGTTGAAGATGAAATTTTTTTACAAGTGCTCTCACATATTCCGGTATCAAAGCATGATTGAATGATCGAATACCTTTCAAATAACTTTCAAAGAATTCCACAAAACCTTCTGTTGTGACGAAATCATCTTGTTCTTCATCCATTATAGCAAAAAATAGTAATGAACGAACCTCCATTGTGCTGGTTAATATTCGAGTCATTTTATGGACGTGAATTTGACTTAATGATTGAAATTCATTAGTTTTTGAAAAACGATTCAATGCATTTATAATTCTTTCGATGATAAATGGCTGAGTATTGAGCATTTTGGCAACTTCTTCAATAGTTAATTTTTTCTCAGTTGATGAAGAATTATCAGCTCGTCGTACACGTGTAGGTAAGGCCACGGGAGGATCATCAAGAAGAGCTCTTAATTGAATTAAGGCAGCTCGAGAACGACGTATCGATTTTATTGAAGGTTGTGCACTTTTTGAGCAGACGAAAATAAAAAAAAGTGTTTTTAATCAGACCAACAAAAGCTACGAACGACATCTATCATGATAATTAACTCAACCAGAAATAGACTCGATAAAGCACTTCTAATCAATACAAAAAATATTATAATCTTCCTCAAAATGACGGCTAGGGTGTGTGTGAATTGTCAGTTACCGTCGGTATTGATGAAAAATCTACGACATGGCGAAGGTAAACGTATCAAAGTAAAATCGCAGTATTTGTTGTTCTAGAACGATTCTCGATTTTAGAAAGCATTCACTACAACACTATTACGTGTATAGGGTTTATTATGTTCTCTAAAGTTAATCTAAACGCATCTAAGACATACAACACGGCCACCAGAACGTTCAATTGTGACAACTGCCAATGGTATGAACAAATTCTTTTTCATCAAGCGTTTCATTTTCATAGTGGCGACTTGGCCATCTAATTTATCTTTTATTCTGGTTTGTTTCAAATTAACTATTAAATAATTCGGAAAGACAGTAATTCCAATAAAATATTCCTCTTTGAATACTTTTGAATAGAAAAAAGACGTACACATGAAAAATACTATAACATACTTTTAAATGCATTTTAATTAACTATCTAGATCTAGAGTGAATTGATTGGCATTTTTGTATGCCAGTATACCATTTAAGTTTCGTAATCTTATTTCTTCTTTATAGTCTACAGTAGTGTTCAGACGTAAAGAAGTTTTCAGAAATTACAGAACTTCGGAAATGTACACATCTGTTTCTTTTAGCAACGTAAGAATAAACTATTTTCATATAACTATACTTACGTTAGGAGCTGTTGTCGTCGTCGGTTCATTGTTATAATACCAGATGTTGAGACCGTACTTCTTTATCTATTTTGAGTTTGCGTTATCTGAAAGCAGTTTTCAAAAATTGAGTTAATGTTATACCACTCTAACGTTGGTGTTAGTGTAGGTGTTAGTGAAAAGTAGGTCCACACCCACACCCAACGGGTTTTAAAGCTTTTCGATCAGACGCGACGATTTCCGAATGAAAAACTCAATTGATTGTATGTTCCATTGATGCATTCGGCGTAAAACCGAAATAGACTCGATTTTTTGTGGAAAAACTTACTTTCAATGTTTCTTCGATTTAATCTCTCATTGTTTTTCAAAGCTTTTAAGACCCAATGATGAGGACTGATCAATACAAAAAACTCTACAGAATGAACTCAGTTTGAGAAAGCTCACATGATTTTCATGTAAAGGAGGATTGAACTGCTGGAAACACCCGTGCACTATATTCGATCATTGTGTTTTCATTAAGATGATACCAAACTGTCAATTCTATTAAAGAAAGTACTTGAAAGAATAGATTTCTTTTCCCATTAATGAGAATTAGTATTTATCCTACAGTGATTTTAGTATACATTACATATCAGCAGCTCTTTGTTGTCGTCTAACTGAGTAAGTTATGCAAGCTGCGTACTTACTTTGAGTCCATCACACAGGGATATATATAGGTAGGAGAGTGGTGTATTTTGCTCGAATTCGGCGAAGATTTAAATGAAGAAACATCTACAATATCGTTCTGTTGCAAAGGAGTTTGCCTAGATTTTTGTCAAAAAGGTATGTTTATGTTAGGCGGTATCATAGACACTGACTCTTTTCGATGTTATTTTCATATTGATAAGACCAAAACATGTGCTTCTTATCATTGTGATTATGAGTGTCGCTTTGGAGTTGAGATTGACAAGTACACTGTAAACAATTCGTAGACTACTAAACTGCAATACTAGACGAAAAGTTGCATAGATTCTGAAAGGGCTTCTTATCCGAAAGTTTTGCCCGTCTTTATTATACTCAGATTTTGAGAGAAGTCTGCATTCCCTTAATAACAAAGAAGATTAAGATTCACTTTTAATAAAAGGCTTCTTATTTCCAGTTGCAGTAAATTTTTATTTAGCACTAGATGCCGTCAAATGAATTATCAAACAGAACAGAACAGATTAAACTAAATAACTTTATTGATGTCGATCGTTTAGAATCGATCGTACATCTTATTCAAGAGTATATATTTATGAAGCGAAATAAATTTATTCATTCTTACAGCTAAGATTTAGTCGAACAATTAAATTATGTGCAGACTTATACAAACTTCTTTTCGTTGTTCTTTCGTTCAGCCTTCATGGAACAACTTCCTCAACAGTTAGTATTTTCAATACAACATAAATTTATTTTTATTATCTAGTCGAACAACTTCTGCAACAATAAGTGTTCTTAAAATTAAATCAAGAAATTTTGTTTTTCATTTAAATTTTCATTTAGATTCTCTTCAAGTATACTCATCAAACTAGTTCTTTAAAAACTATTCATGAGTTCAACACATTTTAAAAATTGAATCGACAGATGAGTGACATCGTCAAACGGGTTGACGTGATAGATGAGCATAAAAATCATTAACAAGAGAGTAGCCACTGAAATCTACATCTAAGGGTGTATGGGTGTGGGTGTAGATGAATACGTAATCAATGCCCACACCCACACCCACACCCCACTTGAAAGAACATCATCAAGATGTCATCAAAACCGAAAAAATCCTCAAGATAAAGAGAAACTCAAGCCCACACAATAAGAATGCAGCTACACAAACTCATCGAATACTACGTGGTCGAATTCGAAAAGCTCAAACACAACTGCCGAAAACCATAAAAAAAACAAAATCAACTAACCCAGAAGAAAAAAAGAAGAACTCAGTCACATCTAATCACAGCGAACATGTGGAAACCAAAAGGCCGCCTTAGGTAAACATGTACAGCGCACTGGCCATTCCATCGATTTCAAGAATATAAAAATTCTGAACAATGACAACAGACACTATAGACTATTGATAAAAGAGTCAATAACAATACGCTCACGTACTCAAACAACTAACGCCACTGATACATCAGTACCACTTTATGTTTATCCCGAGGGAATAGGAGCAAAATTTACAAGAAAGCCCAATCCAAACCAACAAACTTTCATATAAAAAAATCTTCTAATGCATCATTTCCTTTTCCCAATTCCATTTATTCCCTTTCCATTAGTAATGTTGTTTAAAATTTTACAATTTATTTAACTCAATAAAAATGTTCCATAATTTTCAATTTTTTAAATATTATTATCGAAAACACAACGATTATGGTCGTCAATGAATTTAGGTTGATGATGAACAAAGAAGATTGTTCGAAATATTCCAACAAATGAAGAGACAGAAAGTAAAGAAAAAAAAGTAATTTTAAAAAGTAATGATAGAAAGAGGTTGGGAAAATCCTGGAAAAGTCGTTCCGGGATACTGCTTCCGTGAAATTGCAGGAAAGCTCCGGAATCTATTGTTTTCGTGACAGATTGTTCGCCCTGGGGTATGCTGGGTGAGAGAATGGCGGGGAGTTATGTAAATAGTAACGGAAATTAAAAAAATATTTAGTTCTTGCTTCACATGTACACCCTGCTATCTATGGGCCACTCGCGTAATACTCAGCCATTCATCTTTGCTTCAAGTAGTTGTGTGTGTTGTGCTTGCTTCGCACCTTTTACAAATAAATAAGAATGATATTGAATGGAACTAACTCTATACTGTACAAGTGCATTTGATATACTTATCTTGTCAATAAGTGTGGAGTCTCAGGGATGAAAACGTCGTTTTTTGCATGAAAATAAGTGAGAAAAGAACTAACTTGGAATGACTTCAAGACTCAAAGTTATTCTATAGCTAAATTCTTAGTCATTTCCAATTTTGATTTTATATGAAATAATTCTTAATATCTTGGTCGACATTTTCTACAGAGAACTATATTGAACATTCTGATACAGAACTGAAAATGAATTCATAAAAAACGCCACATATGAATGGTTGAACAGTGCCGTGAGATGAGTAGTAATCTTTTATACAGTTTCATCTATATTTTAATTTTGAAAATTAATTCATTTTATTGAAACAAAATCTTTGCATCACCTTCTTCTTATTTTCCATATAGCCAACGACCAAAAAAGAGGTCATGGGACAGTGATGGAGCTGGCTTTACCCAATGTTTTAGTATACTAAACTGAAATGAAGTTGACGGCGTGTAGTAACGTTTTAAGAAGCCGTCGAACGTAAAAAAAACTTAAGGAAGGAAAATATTATCTATGTAAATATCAAGTGTGTTTGAATGTAGCGCGAGCATTTTTTATTTCTTAGTTAATAACATGGATGCTTATTCTTATTTAGAACAATCTAACTGTCGGCCATTGAATCGACTAGGGATTTGTTTACTTCATGATTTAAATGAAATGTGATGAATTTATTTATATGGACTAAATTTATAAACATAGAGAAATAGTCAAAATAAATGAAAATTTTAACAATATTTATATTTTTTCGTAGACACTTGAATGAGTTCGTTTAAGAATACAGTTGCGATATTTATTTTTATTATTGTTACTTAATGCATATATATTTATAGATAGAAGTGTAGTGACGACACACAAAACACGTCATGTATTGTTTGAAAAATATTTGCTGTCGTGTTAAGTCAACAGAAAAACTTGTTCATATACATACATTATACATCTTGAGTCTATTTATATTTCGTTTAGACGCACTCGTACCTGTCGTTAAAATGATTAAAGAATAGAATATTCTTCATTGTAAAAAATGGGCTTTGAAAATCTGCCTATATTATATTTTTATTTCAATAGTTTACAATCGAATAAAAAACGTTTTAGAAGAATTATTTTTGTAGAATTCTTATCGATCGAAAACAACAAGTATTATAGAAAAAAGTCGCGTTATTGTTTTTGTTTGTTGATGCAAAAGCCTGGACAGTGAATTAGAAATGTAAAATTTTTATATTGAGTGCATTATTTAGAATTTTAATTCTATGTGAAAAATAAAATTAAGGAGAAGAAGAAGAAGAACAAAAAGAGAAAAACAAAATTACGATGGTACAATTCGTCGCTTGCTACGTTTTGGTTCTAGGTGAAGACTTTCAATAGAATATGTTGCAGTTCGTACTGTGCTTAGCCAACGAGTGATGTAATCATATTTATTTTCACCAACATATTGCAAATGTAGTTCACGAGTTTTATTATCAGTCAACAGGATTAATCTATCAGATAAATTGATATTAATTTCTGGCTGATTAACAATAGGAGGAACTGTACTTTCACGGATTGCTGATATTTGAGTATCAGTTGTTGCTGTTGATTTTAACGGCTTTGATGGCAGACAAGGTCTTGGTGGACGTGAAGATTCATTTGAACATTTTGTTGGAGAATATTTTGGTTGATTTTTTCGGTGATTGAGAAGAGGATTGTTCAAAATAGGATTTACTCGATGTTCCGACTGGCCTCGCTTATGATCAGTACTTGTGCTGCTAGATTGTGGATCTTGTGCGGAAGATTTCGATCGATTTGATAATGATTGAGTGTCGGCTGAAGGCGATGATAGACGCGTTGAAGAATAACTTGTTCTAGGACAACATATTGGAATAAACGAAGATGATTGACGAACATTCACAGGAAATTGAATGAATGTCGCACTATTATTTGTTGCGACTTGTATGAGACGTCGTTGTCTGAGAAATGGTGATAATGATGAAGATGTTGATGATGAAGATGATGTACAAAAAACCGATAGTGGTTTCACAGACGGTAGCTCATTGTCAATAGCCATGAATACAAAATAATAATTTCGATGAATCAAAATGTCAATTGTTGTCCCAAGATGCGAAAGAAAAATAACGAATACTTCACAACTTGTTGTACCAAATATATACAAAAATAAAAAACATTACTTTTTGAAGAGTTTCTTTTTTTTCTTTTGTAGTTTTTATTGACAGTAACAACGATCTCTTTTCTCTCACATTCTTGTATACATCAACTTCACACTCGTTTTCTCGTTCGTTTCATTGCTATGTCAATATTTTAGTTATGACGTATAACATATATAAGAAAGAAATGTAAAAAAATGTTTCTCTCCTATTCGTTGTTTTTGTTCTTCTATATTTTATTGTTGCACAGATTTCTATGTAACATTTATTTAATCAACAATACTTTTCTCCTTTATTCGAGGACATGCAACCTTAAATGACACTTTGACTATGTGTATCTGAAATAGACATAGAAAAAGGGAAAGGGAAAGATTGCATGACAATGTTTACCACAATCGATCGATTAGTAAATAAAAAAATTGATAGTTATACGTTTTCAATTCTACTATAAAATAACAGAGAAAATATATAGAAACAGAAACTGCCGCCCGTAATAGAAATTTTGCGATGTTTTTCGTCATCGACGTCAGTGTGGGTTAATAATTAATCCAATATATTTCACTAATCGAATGTAATGGAATCATGACATTGGAAAATAGTAGAGTATCGTGACGATTTTATTTTTTTTATGTTCCAGTGATGAAATTCTTATTTATCTTAGAAATCAAAGTTCAAATATAGAAACCTGACCATTATAATAGGCGTGGCAATGTTATGTACACCCTTTTTGACAATTACATTTCTTTAAAATAATACTTTGTCATAGGATATTGGAACCAAAAAGCAGAGATTTTTGTAATTGTGAAAATAAAATGTCATTAGCTAAGCTATCAAAAAAAAGTAATACGAGAAAATGTTTGTTCACTTTGTTTTTGATGCCTTGAAATTTTCTGCAGACATTTTACAAGGACTAGGTAGTGTCAGGATTCTGTGTAATTAAAAATGATGATTCTTGCTAGGTTTCGTAGTTAATCTGGCGCAGGAGAAAGTTGTCATATAGTAAATAATCAGTAAGATATCGTCACATTCATTTGAAATTATAATTTAAGTTATGTCGTTTCCAATGAAAAAATATTTGTAATCAACTGAAAAGCATTCTTTGATAATTAATAATAAAAATTTCTATTAAATTAATATCTGATTTTAGTTCGATTAAATAAAAGATGTTTGTAACAAAGTCATTTAATTTTTACTTATGATTGCCTAGAAATTCAAATTGATGAAGAAAAAACGGAATTAATCTTAAGAGCTCTCAACAGTCAGAACGATCTGAAAGCACAGTTGGTGGGGACGATAACATTATTCAAGGCATTAGTGTTTCCCTGGCATAATCGTTTAGGAACGGTAATAGAACATTAACTCTTACGTTATTAACAGTATTTTTTTCCAAAAATTTGAAATGAAATGAAAAACGATGGTGGTCACTTTTGAGCGACATCTTTCATATGCAATTGCTTGACCGCAATGAACAAAAAACATTGAATTGCAAAAGAAAATACGGAATCTTACGTACTATTTTGCAGATATCTATCAGTTTATGAAGATTAGACAAAATATGTGTCCAAATCTTTGCATTGATAAGAATCTAATAATTACTCCATTATATGACTTCATTCATCTTCAGAAAAATGTTTTCGTTACAAAGAAGAAAAAAGCAGTATAAAAGGATCATGAATAGATTCAAAATTCAATTAAAATCACTAGACGATCAATTTTTGTTCAATCATATCATCCGAAAGAATAACAACAGATCAAATTTTGATTAGGCAATGCTTCAATGACTCTGGCAATCATATATTAAACGATCATTATATTCTTTCATAGAACGTCTACGAAACAATACCAATCATTCATATTGTACATAAGTAAAAATTACTTGTCCAACATTAACAGAAAAAAAAATCTTTGATAGCCGTAGGGTTTTATTGAAAATATCTCTTGCTGTATTTTATATGTGCTTTGATTCTTCTTCTTCTTCTTCTTCTTTCTTTCTTTACTCGCTTCATCAAGCTTATTCTAAGTACCATAAAAAGGTCACACTTCTTTTTCACAAAAAACAATTTCGATTTTAGCCATATTCCAAGTTCATTATAGCACACTACCACCATCACCGCCGTAAGCCAAAGAAGAGAAAAGGAATGGGCGGGTACAAAAAGAGAGAGAAGAATAAAGAACGAACATTCTCGCTTTGTCGCGCTCTTCGGTCACCTCTTCTTTTCTTTATACCTGTTCAAGTCAAAATGAAAAAGTGAATAAAAGAGAAGAAAAAAGAAAACCGCACAGAGAAAGAAAATCTGCAAACGATCATTTCAACGTCAAGACGCAAAAACACAATGCCCGTCAGGAAATACAAATGACAACGAGATAATTGTTCAACATCAAAAACGCGTGATACCATACATATTTATTATCATTCTTAAAAATTTTGTCGCGTGTTTGTGCTTTGTTTAACGTCAAGGTAAGAGTGCTGCTTTTTTGATCTCTCTTGAGACTTAACTGAGAGTGAAATGTTCTATGTATATAAGTATACCATCGATCATTATCTTTATCACTACCGTCACAATTTATAGACACCGAATGATTTTTTTCTTCTTCTCTCTGGTATAAAAAAAAAAAACAGAAAAAGTCGGATAACAGTTGTTATAAAGAGAATCGATTGCAACCATCTATCTCTCTTCTATTGATAATAGTTATATGAACTTGCATTAACAGGCGTATGTTTCTTGATTTATGACTTTTTAACCTTGTGTTCGTTATTTATAATCATAGTAGAATTGATTCTTGCCTTTTTTTCGATGGATTGTCTAGACTTCAAGAGTGTTAAATGAATATTAAAATTGATAAGGCTTCCTCGTATATTCATACGTCAATATTTATATTTTCTTTTATTATTTTTTTGAACACTATCAAAATGCTTTCCATTACCGTAGACCACCATGAATGATATCAGTAACAAGAAAAAAAGTTCATGGTCTTAAAGTATTATCGTGAAGATCATACATATGTTTACATGTCTGTCATGTTAATCAACATATTCAATATACTTGACGATTCCTGCTGTTTATAGGCACACACTTATTCCTAAAGAAACACATTCGTTCTTGTCGATTCTCTAACCAATTATCAAGTAGCTAAATAACTAACGGTAAGAGATGACGACATTTGTTATTATTTGTGGATTCTTCGATCTGCTTATTGCTAAACGAGAAGTATTCTATATTCATATTGACACATACCACATATTTAAGTAACCAACATGATCAGCCAATGTATACGAGGAAATGGTAAGAGACAGTTATTAGATTTTTGTTTAAAATCATCACTAGTCGACTTTATGGTCATTTGGCTAAGTGTTACAAAAGTTCTATGTCTTTTTGTAGTTCTCCTGAGAAGAAACCATTTGTAATGTAACATCTATAATCCCTTAAAAGAAAGTTGCAGCAGTGAGTACAAGGCTATGTTTTATGTATGATGTAATTGAATATCAATCTAGTTTGTATGTTTGTGAACAAGCGAGAAGAAAACTATCGCTGCCGAATACGTTTGCAAGTGAGATTACTACTTGTCAAATGAAAAGAATGCTCGATATCTGTTCATACATATAAAGCAAATATCTTTTATATTCATCTCTCTCTCTCTCTATATATATATATATATATATTTGACAGCTTCAATCAGTTATCTTCGATATAACCATGAAACTTCTATGAGACGAGTCATGCCCTTCCCGTTAGCATCACGCAAACGTATTAGTGAGATAAAGAATTCCGATGTTAAAAGTGATGATTGAATGGAACATAGGTATTGATTTCCGGTATTACCGGTAGACACGTACAGAGACAAGCATACAAACTAACACATGCAATCATTTCTTCTTCTTCTTCTTTTTTGCTTATCATTTGACATTGAACAGTTTTCGTTTTACATGCTTGTATGAAGTCATTTTCTGTCAATCGTATTCTTTTTCTTTTTTTTATAACTCGAATACGAATTGTTTTATAATCGTGTCTCCTTCCTTGTATTACGCAAATGTAAGCAATTACATTCAAGTGTATCAGACAACGATTAGATGAATGACATGAGTGAAAGGTTTTTTCTTTTTGCTCTCTTGTCGTAGCTGAACACTTGAAAATGCGTCACCTCATAATCTATATAAACGTAATTTTTACTCCTTATAAAAAATTAACATAACGATTCATTGAAGCATATTAAAATGAGAGCGACCTAGAAACAAAAAAAAAGAAAAAAGAACGTGCAAAGAAAGGGAATATATATGTACGTTTATTCACCTCTGTGCATGTGTGTGTCTATAACTGGCGAGTAGGGAGTGTGTACAGGACACGATCATAATATATAGTATGTATATTAATGAACGTATGACCAAGAAACAAAAAAAAATAAAGAACGAAGAGAAAGAATACGAAGTAGATGGATGACTGTTACTCTTTCATATCGTTCGTGTATATGTACGATATTGGCAAAATAAGAATTGTATTGGTGGAGACGCGTAAGATGATGATTGAGCGGTGCATGTCTGTCTGTATTTCAGCAACAGGCTACTAACCAGCAGACGAGGTAGGTCACTGTAGGAGAAAAAGAAAAAGAAAGAAAGATTACATCATTATGGTGAGTGTAAACAAGAGTAATACCCCCAACGCTAATGGTTGAGCTTCCCATCATCTTAAGAAATATAAGAAGAGGAGAGGTGAATAATGTTGGCGAGATTTGATGAGAACAAGAGTGCTGACATATGATTATACCATCATATCAACGCAGCTGGTTTTTATAGCATAAAGAAAATAAGCAAACTATTATACATCTATATTGAGATGAGTTTATTTTATCAGGTTTTCACGTATGTATGTTTGTTTATTTTAATGTTCAGCTTCTTTTTGTTTATATGTAAATAAGAACAAGATGAATCAAAATCTATCACGTAGTATCTATTTTCTGTATCTATTTGCGATGAATAATTTTAATGGCAATTTCTCAGTTTGATATTGATTCGACATTCATCTATTATTCTTCTTCTGCTTTATTCAATGTCATCGCCATTGAGCGTATTCCCTGATCTACTATGACTGTCTATTTTTTTTTTCTTCTTGTATATCCTACCTTGCCATCAAGGATTACTATTCTTCCTCTTGAGATAATATTCGGACGAATCATATTCAAAGAAGAAAAAATTCATCACTATCTCTTATCAAACATTTCTTTTTTTTAGAACAAAATACAGTGAATATATCGACAATGACGAGTAGTCTTAAAACAATGCCGAATTCATCGGATAGTAACGAAGTCACGCTTGAAATACCTGTTTGGGTCAGTGGTAAACGTAAATGGGTAACTGGCATAACAAAAAAGACTACATTCGACGATCTTATCTATGCACTTTTGGCACAAGCTGATCTACTTAAATCATCCGATATGGCAAGTTCGTCATCGAATAGTAGTATAGCATGCTATGCTATCGTTGAATGTATTCAATCGACTCCTTCATCTACCGAATCAGCTGTCAGCCAGCATATCTTTAAAGGTCGTTCAAAAGTCATTAAAGCAAATAAAAATTGGCATTTTGATAAATTACCATTGACAATTCTTCAGCTTATGCCAACATCGTCATTGGCAGACCATCCAAATAATTCTTCAACAACAAAACTTCGGTCGAAACTTTTTCGTCGTTTTCTTTCATCGAAAGAAATCAATCAAGATGAATCTTTTCAACAGAAACTCTTAAATAACTATCAAGAAAATCTAAATATTCTCGAACGACAAAAACGTCTATTGAATTATCTCGACGAACAAATTCATCAAGTTGAAAAAACATCTTCGAAATCAAATCCTATTGTTAGTTTAAATGATGTCTCACATTTACTAACATCTAAGCCTATACAACAAGAACAATTAATTCTCGCAACACAATTATGCAATTCAATATTTAATATTCAAGAACATATTGACGAAAAAACAAATGTCTTACATGGCATCGAACAAGCTATATCAAGTGAATTAAATCTTGTTTTACATCAACAACATTATGATGTCTTGCCAATAAATCTAACTGACAATGCGAATTCATCATCAAATGATTTATTAACACTTAAGAATTCGATTTATCGTAGTAGAGAATTATCTCGAATACAGTCAAAAGAAATGCACGATTTAGATTTATCATTGCGTGAAGCAGAAATTTTACTTGGATCAAAATATGATGAATTAAAATATCTTGAATATGAAACATCATCGAACTCAATGATTAGATCAAGATCGCTGACGCCGAATATAAATTTAGCACAAAAGATACCTATCGATGAACAACGACCACAACAATCAACATATGATACACTTGAATTAGCGTTTAATTCAATGAAAGAAGCTGATGAAGATTCAGGTATTAATTCATTGACAAGCGATGATAGTAATCATCATTCAATGTCTATGATAAATCAAAAATTGACGAATACACAACTCGAAACTCTTGTCTAGAATTAATGTATTTTTAGTGATTTCTCTCCTTTTGTTTAATGTAAACATCGAGTTGCTATTCTATCTTATATTGCAAGTAAATTTGACATTTAAAAACAAAGAACGAAATTTTATTGAACGCTCTAGTTATAATTGATAAGAATAAGATTTATTCGAATCTTTCTAATAGTGCCAATATCGAACTGATGATTATGCATATTTGATTGAGTCTAAATGGCTTCGTTAGCAATTTACAGTCAACACATTAAACCTCTCGATGAGAAGACCCCCACATTCGTCTCAGCAATGAGTGCTTATTTCTACTGTGCTAAGTAACAATAACCTCCATAATATGAGTAACATATGTTCCAACACTCTCACGTGCAAAATCAGAAAAAAAATGATGATGTTATTTGTATTACGTCAAGAAAAACAAATCATAGTGCGTTTATGTAAAGGAGATGACCTAAATATGACAGTTGATAATATCAAATACTATCAAAATGTAGCTATTAATTTATCTTTAATTGAAATAAAATCAGTTAGTAAAATAATTGTGACAATACAGGCAAACTTCAAATTTGTACAGACTTTAGTATGATCAACTGCAATGATTCATAAAAGGGTGTGGATGTGGAAAGAAAAGGAGGTTCATATGGGTATCTCGTATTTTTATTTGATTTAATGATAATATTTTGAGTTTTAACTATTCATTCGTGTAAGTATCTGAATTTCAATCAATGAACAGATTCTCAAGTTAATTGCTGAAGAAATTTCATGGAAAATTGAAAGAATAACACATCACGTAACGTCTGTTGGTTTTCTATTGTAGAAGTCGAAGGCGAGCTTTGGAACCACAAAGATTCAGGCTAATTTGCCACGGAAAATGACATTTGGTTATATCAACACCAAGTTCATATATGCTTTGGGTTTGCTCATTTTTTAAACGGAGCTTTTGTTTATCACAATCAATCATGAATTCTAATGTATGATTCGTTTCGATATCTGTTTTGTAACCATTAGAATCATGACTACATGTACCATTGAGATATACTTGATCTCCTCCAGCCCAACCATAAGTTGTGCGAGTACTATATAACAGCTCTGTTATTGGAGCGTTTTTAGATACAATCGATACAAGGATCCAATTTCAAGAAGTCCTTTTATTTTCGATCTTAAAACGAAATAGACGCTGCCCCGATGAATATTCTCCTTTGCCTCTTACAGTTGCGTGAGCATTCGAATTTCCATGTGTGATAAGTTGACCATTCTCTTCTATTTGAATATCTCCTAGAAATCTTTCAAACCTTTCAGTAATCGGCCTTTCTTTCTGAACCGAAATTTTCGGTATGAAGGAGTTCATCTTATTGTCAAACTTAATTGTAATTGCTTTCGGTGTATTTAAATCCGTTTTTAATTTTTCCAAGTTTTCTTTCCATTCATTAATATCAGATTCGAAGAAATCATCGTCATCTCGAGCTCTACTCAACTGTTCTTTGATTGATGTTAAAGCTATTATCACATTATCTGTGTGTTTACTTATAATATTGAGGACTTTCTGTCGAGCAACTTGAGCAACTAGTTGTATTTTTTCAATTGACTGTTTTTCCCATTCATTAATTTCTTTCATTAGAGGATGCAGACTAGGCTGTTTAACCTGTTCATTGAGACATTGCTGGAACTGATCGTGCATGAGTATGACGTCTTCATCCATTTGTTTACCAAGTAATTGACGATGTTCTTGAGCATGTGACAGGCAAAAATCTTGTGAACATCCACGACAGGTAAAAGTTCCAATGTTTTTGCCACATGTTGCACAACGCGACTTGTTTGATGAGGTGGAGGCCATGTATGTTGGTGGTATTAATTTTATGAAAGCGTAAAGGAAGAAAAGTAAAGGCTTTCAGCATTCAAAACGCACGTCACAACATGAGTCATCGATGATGACTCATCGTATCTCTCCGGAAAGGGAAAAATTGACGAAAGTGAGTCTTTCAAAGTTAAGCTTATGTTTATTGTTATTGAAACAAATCTAACATAACGCAGCTCTACTCTAGTAGCTAATGATGTCTCGAATGAGGATTGGCATGATTTCATAATGAAATCGTTGTTGTATTATTCAGTAGAACAGAAAATTCTTCATACGATATGATTTTCGAGCGATTCAACATTGGCTATAGAGTCGTATATCAAGTAAAATACTGTAATGTGCTATAAGCCGATCATAACCGTTCAATCCTAGCTTTCAGGTCTTGAGTATAGCTTCATCTTTCTTTTGCTTTATGCACCGCTTTTAGTGGAAACTTTCAGAGAAAATCATCAACAACAGCAGCAACCGAATTTTGTTTTGTGTGAATAAGAAAGAGAACAGAGCAAATATTTTTCCAAGCGTTGATTTGTTTTGTTGTTGTCGTCCACAGCGAGAAACTTGAATTACTTACTTGAGGATGAAAGTGAAATTGTAGTAAAGCCACGAATGGATATATACATGGACGAGAATGTTTTTAACTTGATAGACAAGAAAACTAGACCACACAAACAATGTCCTTCGATTGAGCTAGTTTTTTACCATTATCCTTAACATTGCTTATTCTTTACGGAAGTCTCATCCGCCAGCTTTCTCCGTTCTCTTGATAGGGACCAGATGTTTTTTCAAAAATTATTACACAAGAGATTATATCATTCGGCAAAAGAACGTAAACGGAATAGTTTTGCTTTATTATTCTAGACCTCTATCTTTTTATGTAACTTTGGTACAATTTTTTCACACGCTGACAAAAGACAAAATGACGATAACATCTAGAAAACACAAATACAAATACACTGGGAAGAGATCGATGAAGAATCCTCGTGGATAGTGTTGTTTTTTCTTTCTTTTATCTATGCTTCCAGTCCCGTACATATTTTGAAACCATCGATATCGTGCTAGGTGAAGGAATCGAACCGTCTCATATGTAATTAAATCAGATTGCTTCAACGATTACGCCGTTCCCGGTACTAGATGCGATGGAATTAGCCGACTGGCATAGTTTCGAAGGAAGAAGAAGTTGCTAAATTATTTGGTTGATTAAGTTGCTGAGTAGCTTTGCTGTGGTGAAATCGAACAGATTAGGAAGAAAGAATAAGCTTTCTCATGTTTGCATAATACAACATTAACATTTATCGAAACAAAGTTCTTCACACGAAGTTATAAATCAAGAAATTCAATAACTACTTTCATACACAGTTTGATCAAGAAAACAATGTTTCAGATCGTCTTCTAGCGTGGATATGAAAAAATGAAGGTTCACATGTGCATCTCGTCTGCTGATTTTATTTAATGATACAATTTTCAGTTCCACCTATTGACTCGTGTCAATATCTGAATTTTATAAGATGCTGAAATCGTAATCAGTCCGACAGTGCCAATTGAATTTTTATTGCAGAAATCGAACACGAGTATCTGGGTGATAGATATTGAGAATAATGTACCATGGAAAGGGACATTTGTTGATATCAATATCAAGTTCATATATGCTTTGGGTTTGCTCATTTTTCAATCGTAGTTTCTGTTTGTCACAGTCAACCATGAATTCTAATGTATGATTCGTTTCCATATCTGTTTTGTAACCATTGAAACCATTACTACATGTACCATTGAGATATACTTGATTGATTCCGGCCCAACCATAAGTTGTGGGAGTACTATATGACAGCTCTGTTATTGGAGCGTTTTTAGATACAACGGAGAAAAGAATCCAATTTCCAGTACCTATATTTTCGATCTTAAAACGAAATAGACGCTGTCCCGATGAATATTCTCCTTTACTCCGTACTAATGCGTATCCCTTCGAACTTCCATGTGTGATAAGTCGACCTTTGTCTTGTATGTCGATATCTCCGAGAATTTTTTCAAAAGTTTCAATAATCATCAGTCCTTCGCTAATAGATATTTTCGGTATGAAGGAGTTCATCTTATGGTCAAACTTAATTGTAATTGCTTTCGGTGTATTTAAATCCGTTTTTAATTTTTCCAGGTTTTCTTTCCATTCATTAATATCAGATTCGAAGAAATCATCGTCATCTCGAGCTCTACTCAACTGTTCTTTGATTGATGTTAAAGCTATTATCACATTATCTGTGTGTTTACTTATAATATTGAGGACTTTCTGTCGAGCAACTTGAGCAACTAGTTGTATTTTTTCAATTGACTGTTTTTCCCATTCATTAATTTCTTTCATTAGAGGATGCAGACTAGGCTGTTTAACCTGTTCATTGAGACATTGCTGGAACTGATCGTGCATGAGTATGACGTCTTCATCCATTTGTTTACCAAGTAATTGACGATGTTCTTGAGCATGTGACAGGCAAAAATCTTGTGAACATCCACGACAGGTAAAAGTTCCAATGTTTTTGCCACATGTTGCACAACGCGACTTGTTTGATGAGGTGGAGGCCATGTATGTTGGTGGTATTAATTTTATGAGAGAGTAAAGGAAGAAAAGTAAAGGCTTTCAGCATTCAAAACGCACGTCACAACATGAGTCATCGATGATGACTCATNTGACGATGTTCTTGAGCATGTGACAGGCAAAAATCTTGTGAACATCCACGACAGGTAAAAGTTCCAATGTTTTTGCCACATGTTGCACAACGCGACTTGTTTGATGAGGTGGAGGCCATGTATGTTGGTGGTATTAATTTTATGAGAGAGTAAAGGAAGAAAAGTAAAGGCTTTCAGCATTCAAAACGCACGTCACAACATGAGTCATCGATGATGACTCATGTTATCTCTCCAGAAAGGAGAAAAGAATTACACCTGGAAGAAAACATTGACGAATGTGAAATAACAGATTGCGACTGTGTGAAAAAAATATTAGGGAAGAATGGAAGACACACTTCCACTCTCGCTGATATAATATTCACTCATTCGAGCGAAGTACAACACTGTGAGAGTTGACTTTATTTCTTCGAAAAGACTGTTTTTTTTTGAGGGTGTGGATGTGTATGTGACTTTTCACTTTCAGAACATCATATCATAGTCATAGGCGGCGGAGCCATTAGGCTCGCGAGGCTCAAGCCTACCCTAGGTTGAAAGTGGGTAGGCTTAGCCTACCCTAAGCTGGAAGTGGGTTAGATCTTGATAGACTGAAACTGGAACAGATAAATGTTTGTATAGGTTGTTATATGCAAAATGGGTTTATTCTTGTTTAGTTTTTGGGACTTTTCTAACAAAAAAACGCATTACTACAAGATCATTTCATATTTTCTCTACTAGTAACTCGTTTGCAATGAAGTATTAGTTGAACGTTTTTGGCATTAAAGTTGACATCTAATTCGTAATTCTTAATTTAAGATAGCTGAAATGTTTTTATAACTTCTGTTTAAAATTACTTTTAAATCTTAGACACTCGAATAACATTACTTGGGAAGTGCAGAAATGCGAGCCAAACAAAGTTAGAGTATGTCTTCCTTTCAAAAGCAAGACCAGGAATAGTTTTGGTGAAATCCGTCTCCTTTTGAAATTTAAATTAGGAATTTAAATGATACTCACAGAAAAACAAAACGTCGCTAGGGTGTGGGCGTGGATGTAGGTGTTCTTATTTCTCTTTACACCTATAGCCACCCAAGACATTTTTTAAACTAACTTTTTTCTTATCACTTATCGTCATTCCCAGCTCATATATACACTTTTAATTAATTTATAAGTACTCATCAATTATAGATTACGTTCAAATTAATTAGATAAGTTGATAAATTCATTGATAGTCATTTGTTAAAAGTGATAATATATTGAGTTAAAAGGCAGAACATTTTTTAATTCAGATAATTGATTTAAAAGATGTTGAAATACGAAATTAGATTAAACAATTTTTTAAAGGTATCCTGTCACCAGAATAGATACTACTGTATTAAGTTAGACAATATGGATATAATTTAGATATGGGTTGCTATATTTTTAGATATTGCATTAAATGCATGCCATAGTTTTTTCTTCTTCTTTGACTGTTCTTTTAGTGATTTTTTTCCAAGTAGTCTTTCGCATTTTTTATTTACTTCTTTACTTGCTGTTGCATCTAAAAACCATACCGCATTAGATAGTTGTTCCACTTATACAGAATTAAAAATTAGTAGGAAAACCTAAAACGATTCCCTTTATATACAAATGAAAAAATCACTTCTCAATTAGCTTTCATTTCTGCAAGAGTTAGAATTTATATCAAATTAAAATCGATTAAAACCTGATTAAAAGTCGATTACAATCATATGATTCTTATAAAGTTCCAATCATTTTTTAACCAGTTTTAATCTTTGGCAATTGAAAAACTAAAATTTCATTGTATATCACGATTATTTCTGCATATAATCAAGGTAAGCTGCATAAAAGCATCGACTTTAATTGATTCTTCTTGATGATAAATGCAAAAGGCTTCTTTCGATCTTTACCGATTTGCATAAATTGTCATCAATTTTTCTATGAAGTTTTAATCAATCATAATCTGTATAATGGAATGAATCAATAAAAATATCTTTCTTTCGGCTATTTTATTAAAAATCAGTTAAAAATTGATTAAAAGACGATCAAAATCGTATGCTTATAGTTGACACTTAAAGTGCTTTTAGTCGATTTCAGTCTGACTTCAACTCTATTTTGTTTCAATGGTGAGACTTGATTTGTCCAAAACGTTGAACCTACCCTAGATCGAAATCGTTCCGCCGCCTATGATCATATGAACATCCATAGTGAATACAGCATTATAAACTTCAATCGTATTACATCTCCAAAAACTCAAAAAAGCTGAAGGTGCAAATAATAGCTTAAACACACTAATCAATAGTACTGAATATGGATTTATTTCTCTCAAAAAAAAACAAAAAACAACAGGGCATCTTTCATCATCGCCCAATTTAAAAACAAGTGATTTTATCCTACGAATCCTACATTGCATGCCGAGTTTCTGAAAATATATCAACATAGAAATATATTTGCTAATACTGAAAAATATGTTTATCCGTTGTTCAATACATATCTCTATTTTTTCTATTTCCTTGACATGTGGCACATTTCGTCTCGTCTGTTAGACGAGAACAATCTCGATATAACAGCAAATCTAAATTCTCCAACCATACAATATTCAAGTTGATTGTGAGTCATCACCCCATTCATAGTCTCTGCACTCACGTATATTGTTATACGCCCATGAATAATCGAGTATAATTTTTCGTAACAGCCTCTAGTTTTGTTTATACTTTTGTCTTGTGACAAGCTGAAAATTAATCATGCAAAAAAGCGCATGCTTGTTATCGATGCGTGTAGCATTCAAAACCAACTTGCATACGTCGTTAGCAGGTAAATTACTCCCAAATCCATATTATAGAGAAAGATATTCTATAGCAATTCATATGAGTTTCTAATTTCTCAGTATTTCTCGTTTGAAATAGCTCCAAACCAAAATTAGGTAAGTCCGTATTATCATTTAGTCTGAAACCATAACAGAATCTAGTCGTAGTACAATAAACGTGTTTATCTATTTCAATAACACTATCAGTGGTTACGCTTATTTATTTTAATTATAGGTGCTAATTGCATACTCTTTTTTTTCTAGTCTGGATTACTCATCTCGTTTCTAATTTTCATACTTTTTATTGTGTAACGGTACACAATGCAATTATTTCATTTAGACTATTTCAAAATGATAATGAGCACGAATTGGAATAAATAACGATTTCTTATTCTCAAAAGAACAGTTCAATCGTAAGCTTAGCCGTTGCTGTAAATGTTTAACATTTCAGAAATTTCTGAAGTTTCTCTCAAGTTTTCCTATTGCTTTCTTCAAAAAGTTTTAATCAGTAATGTTTCGTTGTTTCTAAAATTGATCTTGAATGTGCACCGCTTAGAAATACTTGTTGAACCTGAACTAAGCTCCTTTACATCTTCACTACATATTTGTACTAGAGTAATTGTGCAGCATAATTGTTTTAGAGTTTTCAAAATCTATAGGAAGATAATCAAATGGAACGAACTTATAGAAAACAAAAATTAGAAAGTGACTCTTAGAGATTCATTAAATACTCAAAACAATGAATTTGAAACAACGGACGCATAGCTTTTCTTTTTATGAAAAATAACTGTTTTCTTTTAATACTTAATTTCACCAATTAAATGTAGTTGCTATTATTACAGATTCATTTTTACTGAGAATAAAAGCTCGAAAGTGCGTTGTGTCTGTGTCGCTAAACATGTCAATTTAGTAAAATGAAAAATTGCTTGATATAATGCATCTTTAATATTAATTATATAATTAAAATGATCCTTTGAAAATAAATGAATGTGAATGTGAAGTTTAGTTCAATGGGTTTTTTTAAAATTATTTGGTCTGATCAATATCCTGCTAACAAATTTGAAGATTCACTTAATCGTAGTCTTAGAGAAGTTTCTATATTCCCTAGTTTAGTTTTTACTGTCGATGTTTGCTTTTTTGGATCAAAGTCTCATTGATTTTTAAAAATGTTTGTTGGTCCCTAATTAATTTGATATAATATATATTATGATTTTATCATGCTTATTTATTTTATATTATTCATATATATTGAGTAGTAAATATTCTTGTACAATAATTTAGCAATTAGAAGATTTATGTTATGTTCACTTAGTACACTGTAAAAAAAATTCGTAGAATACTAAACCCTTAAGGGTTGATGAAAGTGCAACGTATAATAAACCCTTTTTCCGTTTTTGAAAATTTTTATAAACCCTTAAAGGGTTTATGATTATGTGGAAAATACCCATTAGGGTTTATGAAAATTTTCAAAAACGGAAAAAGGGTTTATTATACGTTGCACTTTCATCAACCCTTTTTGGGTTTAGTATTCTACGAATTTCTTTTACAGTGTACCTGTAACGATAAATATGGGACCCTTGCTAGTTGATGTATTAAGAGAAACTGAATAGAGGTGGAGTAGCTTACAGCCACTCTCGGCAATAATGCTTATTCGCTTCTTCACACATCCAGAGTGTACCAACTTCATACATAACACACGTATATATAGGAAAGAGATGGGAGAGGGGTAGGAGAGAGGCAAAACAGAGAAAGAGATATATTAGAACAATGGAAAGCGAACAGAAGAAGGATGAAGGAGAATCATCGAAGCTTGCCATCAATATCGATACACCCTCGCACTCAGATCAGACGCGCTCCTGAGCGTCTTTACAGTATCAAAAAAAAAGGAAGATCGAAAAAATATACGCGAAGAAAAGAAAAAGAAAAAGGGAAAGGAACGGCATAACCCATGTGAAAAATGTCGCAAAAAATCAGCTTTAGAGAGGTCAAAATCGATTATAATCATACGATTCTAATCAATAATTTTAGCTGTGATGGTTATATAAAAATCAGCATTTAATCGATTATTTCCATTTTTATGATTATAATCAATTTTTTTAAATATTCTTAATCAATTA